GTCAAACTGTTTAAGAACAGTTTGACAACTTACAGTGTATGTGTGTGTGGGGGCAGTGTATGTATGGGGGGGCAGTGTGTGTATGGGGGGGCAGTGTATGTATGAAGTAGGGTGTGTATGGGGACAGGTATGTGTATGAAGCAGTGTGTATAGGCAAAGGTGTGTATGTGAGGCAGTGTATGTGCATGGGGGCAGTGTGTATAGTATGTGCATGGGGGTGTGTGTGTATGGGGGTGTGTATATGGGTGGCAGTGTATCTGTATGGGGGGGCAGTGTGTATGTGGGGGGCAGTGTGTGTATGGGGGGCAGTGTATGTGTGTGGGGGGGCAGTGTATGTATGTGGGGGGCAGTATGTGTATGGGGGGCAGTGTGTGTATGGGGGGCAGTGTGTGTGTGTGGGCAGTTTATGGGGGGCAATGTGTGAATGTGTGGTTAGGAGGGTAAGTGGGCTTTTTGATAAAAAATAAATAAATAAATAATGTATAAAATTAAATAAATGTATGTGTGATCTCCCCTCCGGTCCGCAGGCACATTGCAGGGCTGGCACTTGAACAATGCCAGCCCTGCATTAGCCGGCAGGGGAGAATCTTGGGGGGTCAATTGCCCCGTTTACCCCCCCGGATCTGCCAGTGTTTGGAAGACAGGACAAGCCCTAAATATAAATAGCAAGCACTTAAACAGCAGGGACGAAAATCTAACGTGCAATTTCAGTTCTGACAATTTTAGTCATAAAGCATTTTGAATCAATATTCTGATCAGCCAGATTTGAACTAATGAAAGTATTGTTGTATGTGTATTTTTGTGGCTCTCCAACTTCACCATGTATTTCCCTGCGATACTGCACCTTAAAGGAAAAGAATTTTAATATTTGTTTTTTAAAACGTACTGTTATTCCAGTGCTACAGCCTCCCCAAAGCAGTCGCTTCACCTCCTGTGACATCATCAGGATTGATTGTGATGTCACACTCTCCCAAACCAGTTCTTTTCATAGAGAAGCATTGAATCCAATGATTCCATAGGAGAAAGTATTAGATGTGTAGTGTTTAGTGTCATGATGTTTTGCAAATCCATTTGGCAGCCATAGACTGCCACTTGCTCTCTGATTATATAAACAGCAAGGTTTTGCATTGAGCCATTAAAGGGACAGCATACATGGACCAAAACCACTGGATGCAGGTGTTCTGGAGCTTAGAGTGTCCCTTTAAACAAACTCTGCTAGACACTACTCATTGATTGTACCTGCTATCAGCCTTACTATACATAATGTATTATTGTTATTCTACTTTATTTGTAAAGTTCAAACACATTTGTGCATGGGTACAGTTGGTAAATGTATTTTGGCTGATGTGTACTATAGTCGTTGCTGCCGCCCAGGAGTAATGGGAGTTTGAGCGCAGGACTAGTTTCTTTGTATAAGTAAAAAGGACAAAGGTAGATAATATGGCTTTACATACATTTTTGCTGCTTTTAATGCCTTATTGTCATCTCTTTGTTTAAGGTAGCGGTTAATTACATTGTAAACGTATCTCATTGAGCAATTCATAAACTGATTTACAGGATACTAAATTAACTATTCAAATCAGCTTCAAAAACACATCGAAGAACAAACCTTAATTCTGTTGCTCTGGGGATAGCAGTGTCACTAATGTCACAGATACATTGGACCTGACCTGACAGATATGTCTGGCACAGCCAATGGTAACCTACCAAAAGACATAGAAACCCATTTTGGGTCCTGCTATCAGATCACAGCTGTCAGAGAATTTTCTCTGTTTTAAGCATTTTAGTAGTATTTTTCCTTTGTTCCTGTATAGTACGTGCCAAGATGTCTAAGTGTATTTATTTTTTTTAAATGAGAATAAAATGCATCGAACCACAAAGGAATTGTGGTTTAAAAAAAAATTAAAATTTTTAAAGTTGAGGCCAGTACTGTAATGTTAGGAAAATAGCTAAATTAGTCAATTTTTCAGTTGAGTTATTTTTTGTGAGAAGTGAGTGTGCCTTGTGGGTGTTGTGTATAAATAATATCATAGCCCTTAACACTATCGCCAGGTGTGCGATGGCACGCAATTGTAGTGTACTAATGTGATATAAAACTCATTTGACACCTCATTATCAATTACATTTCTATTAATCAGATCAATTTCTTGCCACAGTGGCGTTTCATTTTCCATATTTTTGGTGTTTATTTTATACATGAGCGCAGCCACTAATTGTGGCAAAAATGTGACATTTATTGTATGGAAATATTTATAAATGACTCTTTCCACATTCTTAAAATATTCTGAGGTTTTTATTACTTTTTCGTGATTGTGTCCTAAATATCATCCATAACGTCTTCTGATTTCTTTTTTTTTTTTTCATTTATAACTATGATGAATATACTCTTTGTGTACCAACCGTTAGATTGTTCACAGCTGGTGTAAGGATATATTCCCCAAATAGAGTCTGTAACTGCAGTTTGCAAAAATCAGACTTCTTTTTCAAGTGAGACCCTAAGGCGATTTTTAAGCCTTCAGCAAAGCACCTGATGTGTCTGAATTCAGGCTCCGTAAATTAGAGTTTGCGTTTTCACCTGGGAATATCTGTTGTTCTGTATATACTCAGATGTGTACTGACAATGATGGAGGCTATCCAGGAGACCTGTACAGCTGCATGTTATAGACCCTCATTCATTGGGGAGGAATTAGTTTTAATAAAAATGTATGAAGCGTTGTCGAGGATTTGGGCTAAATTTTGTAACATGTAATTTGCTTAAAAATAGGACGTTCCGTCTAAATGTTCCAAGCAAGCAATAAATAAAATGTTGCTGTTTTTAAGCAGTAGATTATACATTAGGAAAGATGTAATATATCTGAGAATAAAATATTTAGGACCTAATTCTGCCACCTGGAAATGGGGCACTGGTTTAATGTTCTTTTTTGTTTTGTGTTGTTGTTTTGTGTTGTCTCTGTATATCTCTCGACTGTTTTAGAATTTCAGTGACATTCCAACATAGTCAAAATGAGTATTTCATAAAGATTCTATCTTTATGAAACACAAATTTTTCAGGGGGGTGACAGTGCCGCTTTAAGTCCATGTGTTGCAGTTATGCTATGTTCAATGACATCATGACCTTGATGAGATTTCCTTATGGCATGCCATGGATTGAAGGGTAGCTACATTGTATTAGCAGAACCTCCTAAAGAGGGTGAGATCGGTATAATTAAAACAAAATTGCTTTATTATTAATATATGCTAAAACCACTAAATTAAGACAAAGTATTGAATTCCTTTGTAACACACACTAGATAGAAAAGGTGAAGGAGTCGGAGAAGACCAGGGAGGGATTCTGTCTAATGTAATAGTACTTCTCCTTGTGAGTACGTATACAGTAACAAGATGTGGATACACATTACCACCACTGGATTGGAGGGCAACACCAGCTCTGTATATTAAAACAAGAAAATGGAATTAAAACTAATTGTCAAGCACTTAAAGAAACACTCTAGATTTATTTAGAAATACAAATATGTATTCCTAATAGTAAGATGTTAGTAGAACTATTTAGATTATTGCCCCCCCCACACACACACACACCAAATTATGGCATTTTACTTACCTTATTTCCCCCAGTGAGCCAGTTTCACCTCCACTAGCGAGATCATTAGTTCTTAGATTTCCAGCTAATCCAATTCTTTCCCACAGGTAAGCAGTGGGAAGCTAGTGCACATGCGCTGCAATCACCGTGCTGCGCCACTCAGAATCTTTTCATAGAGATGCATTAACTCCATGCAACTCTGTGTGGAACATTCAGCGTCTTCATGCACTGCGTGGAGACACCGAGCGTCGGTCCTGCAATCTGTGCAGGACCGAACCCAGAAAGTCCCTTTTACTGGCTGACCTTAGAGAACAACGTTTCTCCGAAAAGGCAATGTCTACACTGCTCAGTCTGTAGGGAAAGAATACATGCCCAGAACTACTACATTAAGCTGTAGTGGTTCTGATGCCTATAGTGTCCCTTTAATCCAAGGCATGGCTTTCCTCTGAGAAAATACGTAGAGTCCAATCAATCTAGGAAGAGCTGTTTTATTGGCATGGCTAATTATCATTTGGATAATCCTCACAATGTGAACCTTATTAGGTAACCTCTATAATAACAATGTTCATACATTTAAATGTTGGAGTTATTAACATAGCCTTTTTTACCTCTTTAAGGGAACAAAATCTATATTATATGGGGTTATTGAATGGGAATCAGGGAAAACAGATAAGGGCATAGCTGTAAAAGAGCTGAGATAAAGATATGTTTTTCCTAATTCAGTAATTTGGCTTAAAAAATTACATTCGTATTGTTGCTTCTCTGTATTACACAGTTTAGTGAGTAACCACATTGGCAATTGTCCTTGCAGATACCAAATGAAACTTCACGTGGGTATAAAAAATATTCCAGCATACGGTTAGAATGACTAAACTAATAGAGCAAGCTGTCTCTACACTCTCAGTACTTTACTCCCTCGGATAGCATGAAACCCTTTCATTCAGCTGTACACAGAGTATCATTTTAATTAGGTGTTAATGTTTTCAAGGCTGCAGGCAGAAGATGATCATACTCTGGCATTGAGAAAAACTGAGAGTTTTCAAGGTCAGAGCATGCTTGATCCAGTGACTAGAAGTATATTTATTTTTCATGTACTGACACTAACTATAAACAGAGCAATGCATTTTCTGATTTCCTTGGCTCGTTCTGTTCTGCAATGCTAAATTCTCTGACTTCAGCTCCCCACCACCATTTGCTGGGTGATCATTATCTAAAGACGCCTTCAGACAATATTGTAGAGGAAATTACGCTTCCAAAGAGACACATTTCAGTCCTTATGTTTTCAACAGTGACATTTATTTCATATTATTATTTATTTTATTTTAATTTTTCAGAGCTCAGACATTATTGAATAAACTCTAATTTAGGACATAAGAATATAAGCAATAAATATATATATATAATACAATAGATTGCATTTGTACACATAAATACAAAATCTGAGGTAGGGCCTCAAGGATAACAATATTTTTTTTTTTTTAAATGACTAATGTACAATAAATTTATATATGTGCACTATATAGATATATATGAATACATGTATATATATCTAGATATTTAATTAGAATGCTCTTCTTTTCTAAAGATTCTATATATTCTTCATGTACAGCTATCGGAAAAAAATATATATAATATACAGACCTAATAATGGGTACTTACTCACAGTCAGATACCCTCAAAGTCTGTTTCTTAATTTGAAATTATGCAAGTAATTAGGATTTTGCCTATTCAGTAATAGGTCCATAATAAGAGTGCCAAAAAATGTGACACAAAACACACACACACACACAACATTTTATATGACACACAAAAAAAAATATTCAAAATTGTGAAGCACATCAATAAGGCAAATGGGTTACCTGACAATGTATTTAAATTTTAGGGTAAATTTAATGTTATAAACAAAATATCAGGCAAACACTCACAAACGTTAACATGTCCTAAAATCTTCCATTTGGTCTATCTTTGATTATATCTGCCTGGTATGGTGTGGATAACAAATTAATGGTTAGCTGTCATGGTTTACACTTTGAGGCCTGCGTCGGGTTCAAGCAGTTTTATGGGATATACAGGTAAAAAAGCATAGACTAAAACTTGACAGGGGACTATGCTTAGCGTAACATTAATTCAAGGGAGATTTAATTAAAGTCTAAATAGTCTAAAACTAAACACCTTTTAACATTAGACAACTCTACCATGCAACCTCCAGGTTTACTCTACCGGTTTTGGCAGGACAAGATAAATTATCTGTCATGGACTCTTTAGTGGACATTATTCATAGCTACTAGTGGCTTTAGTGAAATTACAAAAACATGTGCATCTCAAATACTAAGATAGTATTATGGTATTCCATGTTGAAACATCTGTTGACAATCAATGGTGTTGAAACATCTGTTGACCATCAATGGTGGCATGTTGAACTGAAGGTCCACCACTTCATAGAGAAGGTCTATTCCTGGAATAGACAGGCCAGGTCTTGTTATATGGCAGCTCAGAGGTCACAGAGAAATGGCTGTGTTCCAGTTTGCTTCCGAAGAGGTGAGTTTAGCACAATGTGATAGTTGTGCTAAGAAGGCAAAGTCATTGACAATATGAGTGGTCAATGGAAAATTTGCATCTTCTAAATCTCTCCGAATAAGGCAGGACCTGAGAGACATGGTCCATCTCCTCCTCCGTTGTGCGATGTAGATATTTAGAGGGGGAGGGGGAAGCAATTTCAGCAACATAATGGCTGACAGAGGTTCTTGAGTGCAGTCTACAGGAAATATAATTACTGTTTCAGGAAATATTGAAATGTATTTGAAATACCATAACCCAATCTTTCTCACAAACCTCACAACACAATATGGTTCCTCTAGCTCTAGAGAATATGGGGGGGAGACATACAAATAATAATTTGATATTGTCAGCATTTCATGAATTATATTAGAACTATACACGATGTTACCTGGGATAAAACCAGCAGAAGGGGGCATACACCAGGGAAGAAAAATGAAACTAATAACTAATTATTGACAAATGTAATCCTACTGACAGAGAAAGTGCTAAAGACTTACCACTCATTATACATAAGTACACAAAGTCACTTTATTGCTGTCACCTTGGAAGAAATGTGCATTGTTCTAGGTTGGAACTTAAAGAAAAATCTAGACGATACAGCAGGGGACATTCATTACACATTGGGGCGCCGTTAGAGAGAAAGAGAGGTGATATATTTTAATCTTTTCAAAACAAACTCCTTTCTTGCATAAGAGTTTAGTAGATTTCACATCTGTATATTTTCATGATTGGTTTAGTGTTCCTTTTTGATGAATGGAGATGGGACAGTTAGCGGATATTTTGCAAACCTTCACCCAGAGACTGCAATTATGCAGTAGAATTTGTACCCCAAAGGGCAGCTTGGTTAATCCGTGAATGTTCTGCACGCACCTGACACCAAATTTTAGTAGTCCATAGTCAGGAATAGAGGTTTGACTATTGTATGAAGTTTGTGGAATTAACTAAAAGGTTTTCCTGAGACCCTTTGACATGACATTAAAGAAAGATAATAGGTGGAATGTCTGAATTTTTGTAGTCTAACTATCAGCAACCACACAAGGGGCATTTGACAAATGTTGTCTCACACAAAACCCATCACTTCCAGGTAGGTGATCTCAATATTCCTAATCAGAACTGTTTTGTAGTCACTGTGTCCACAGGTCTTCCAATACTGGGTATATGCTCTCTAAATTCACAATAAGACTGTAATAGAGATATAAAAGACACAACTAGTAGCATAGGGAGATTATTGCGAGAATCCCAGCACTTGGGGGTTAACTAATCGAGTTTCAGCAATGTGCTTCTCCTTTGGAATTCAGGAGGTTAATGTACACTTTTGTCTCTCTGAGTGAATTCTTTTGCAACACATTTGCCTTTCTGGCAAAGCAGAGAAAATATCCATGATGCATTGCCTGTGAAATCAGAACTGGTGCTTGTTTAAACCTGGATGTTCTATCATCAATGCCCAGCTGGTCTCCTTTCTTCAAAGTACTTGGCTCCATGAATGCTCTCATGTTTGTTTACTGCTCAACGATGTTGCACATAAAAGACACATTTCTAGAACACTTAGCAAGTGCTCAGCAAGTAAACAGTTCTTGTAAAATATTCCAGGTTTTCAAAGAATCAACTTGGTCTCTTTCAGCAAATGTGATCTATATTTCATAATACTTAGTTTTCCCCAAATACATCCTACTCACTTCTCCACAATTCCTTCCTCTCCGCACCTACATGACAGGAAGTGTGATTTATTTTTTGGGGGCTGACTTGGCAAAGGTACACTAACACAAAACACAACAGAACAAGGAAGATTTCACAAGATAGTGTTACCCACGAACAAGTGTGCATGCTACAAGCTGAAGAACAGGGAAATGTTGACTGGTGCCAAAAGTCTCTGATGCAGTTTATGGATTTAACATCCACATTCTGCTGATCAGATTCATAGACAGGCTGGATAGCCCATGAAATGGACACTTTAAAGTCATATCATTAGTGCACTTTGCACGGGCCACGTTCTGCTCCACTATATTCCCTCCTTGTATTCAAAGGAAAGTAGAAACTTAATGCTATATTTTGTAGTTGTATAAGCAGAGTGGAACTGTAGAAGAATACTTTATCTGCAAAGATCGTACACCTATAAGAAATAATTCTAAAACGTTGACCCCCTCCTCTTGACGTTAACAAACAACATGTATGGAAGCTGTCTGTCCCGTTAATTCCATTGGAAAACTCCTATTAGGAGTTGTTTTTTTCCAAGAGTTTTGGTGCCACAAGCCGCTAATTCTATAGTAGGACTTGCAGCGACCACATTCCAGCGGCAACCAGCCGTTAAAAGGAAACTATTTACATACACATATGGCTTGACATAGAAGAGAATATGCCTTTTAAACATTAATATACTATATATATAATATATAGAGTCAGGTTCTAGTAGTTAAATACATTTAGAAATTATGGAAAGACAATAAACAGAGACAGGGTTTTGTTACTAAACACAAACAGCAAAGGACCGGAGCTATTGTTTGGGTGCACACACTACAGTGTGAATATAAAATTAGGCACAAATTATACAATGGCTTTTAGGGGCGATAATGAGAAAAATTTACAAAATGCAAATAAAGATAAACGTTGCTCTATGTTGGAATCGCTTCCAGATGCATCAAAGGCTTTGTTTATTGGAAGACAAAGGATTATTGTATGTTCTTCATAAAAATAAATATGAACCCACCCAACAAGATGGTCTAAGCAATGCATAGTATGCCCAGGAGACAGCCTGGGGAACTTAGTTTGGTTCTTGAATGATTGAATTTAGATATTATTTTGGATTATTAAAACTCATCCCAGCAGAGTTCTCATTAAATCGGCTACAGACAAAGCCCGGATTTATAATAATATAATCTATAGGCACCTTGCCAGTGCTTAGTCTTTAGCTATTGCACATGTTTGCTATACTCCTCTCTGGAGTTTTGCATGAGTTGCCAGCCTATGTTTGCTATTTAAGGCTGATCACATTTAGGACAAAAAATGTGCAGAGACTGTCCTTATAAAGCATATTACATTCTTACCCAAAAGAGGAACAAAAACCCCTCTTAACAATGGAAAGTTCCTGAACTGGTGATTTTATTCTGCAATCAGACTCTGCATTCTTCCAGGGTCATATACTTAAAATGAAGGGAAATGAATATTCCTTTGCCAGAAATTGTACGTTAAAATGGAGGCAATGGACATGGCACAAAAAGAAGCCAGTGCGCAAGGTGGCAGCCAGTTTGGGTGTTGGCTAGAACATGCAACGTGAAACCTTAGCGTGTAGTTATGACCACACCGGCACTGTTTGAAACAAGAAGAAAAGTATGTGAGGCGGACTGAAGATTGACCTCTGTACTTCACACGTACAGACACCAGATATACTAGCACTGGGTTCCTAAATCGAAATCCTTAGGTGGAAGTTTGAGACCTAAGGAAGAGGTACCCAGTGGATCCATCATGTTCTTGTAGCGTTCTCCACGATGCTTTTCCAAGAATGGACCCCAGTCAGGCTGAGGAGTACATACAAGCTTGAGTCTCTGGAATGGAGAAGCAAAAAACAAACATATTGCTACTTAGATAATTCATTGGTTTTATGTGTGACATACCTGTACACAGTCAAACTAAGGGCCAGAAGAGCAGTTTGATAATTTATACGTAAACCTCATTGAGCATAACACAGTTATTTAATAAACGAACCCTACAATTCTCATAATACCAGAATATCCCATATACAGCCAAATAATGCCCCGAAATCTAAGCCTCAATCAAGGCATGATATGAACAAACTGACAGGAAATGACATTATAAGCTGTAAATTGACAGGAAGTGGCATCATATCCTGTGCATTTACAGGATGTGACTGACCAGAAGCAACCTTGTTTCCCTATGAACTAATGGGAACTGATATAAAAATATGTGCTTCACGTAAAATAGTAACATTTTAAATTCTTAATCTCTACAGGAAGTATAAAAATTTATTTTATTTTATTGTGCTTCTCTCCAGCATCAATAAAGATTTGAGCTTTTGAAATTCTAACGGGGGATAGAAGCAAAATTAGCACAAAGCTTTAAACCTGGCAGAATATAGTTATTAATGCAACACACATAAAATGCTGCAAAAACACCTTACAGGCTCATCTCGATGGCTTGGCAGCATAAGTGTCTCCCCTCACTCATTATTGTAACAAAAATGATGGCACGCTTAATATAAATGGATTGTAAGGTCATGGGGACACTAGTAAAAAAATATCAAAGAACAATTCATGTATGCCTTCGGGGGGAGGGGGACACTTTTTCCTGTGAATCTTGCGTTGATTTATCTACATCATAAACAAGATTTTTGATGCTTGATGGGGCAGCACAAATAAAAAGATGATTTATGTTGTATTAAAAGCAAGAGATAAAACATTTTATTGAATACAGCTTGTCTTAACTGTCTGTGTACCAGAGATTGGTAAAGTTTAGTCAATTCTGTTTACAGCTAGTCCTTTAATATTCATGAAACAGATCTGATCCAATAATATTTAAAGGTGGAATATGATGCAGGTCATGTTGTTCCATTAAAAAGCAGGAATAAAATATTATTTGCGTAGTTTTGAGGCACTTAACCAAATGTTTCTCATCCATTGCTCAGTCTTAGCAGTGGGTTACATCAAAGTAATTGAATTTCTGTTTATGATAATGCCCAGGAGAATATAACCCAGTACCGTAGGAAAAAAAAAAAAACATTATGATGATGGAAAACAGATTATAATTATCTGGTTATGGTAATTTTATTCACCGTCACCAAGAGAAGTATGAGAAGGCAGCCGAGCTGATTAGAATAAAAATGGCCTGCATTCTGATACCATTCTATTTACTGAAAAAGTAATTTGATTTGGAAAAATTCCGCGTGAAATTGTATAAAAAGCAAACTTGTGGAATCATAAAAAAAAACAATTATTGGTTTATTAGCTATTAAAATAAATTGAGCTTCTCTTCCCTTTATTTCGGTTAAATTGCTATATTGCAACGTTGATGTCCCACTTGGGTTATGAGACAAACAGTATGGAAGAGCGGCAGTGGATTTTGGGATGAGCTACACTAAATTCCTTATCCGTGGCGAGATTTCCACAACAGTTTGTGATGGAACTTTTTAAATCCAAGCTGTTCTGGTGGATATTAAATCCAACCAACTAATGACTGTAAATGACCACGAATCCAGCTTGGTGAAAGTGCTCGCTAGATAGTTATGTGCAATTTGTGAGAATATGTAATGACTTAGATCTTGGAACTCACCTCAATAAAGCTGCCAGGTGCCAGAAACATTTTTATCACAAACATAATGGGGATCCAAATAACTGAACACGCCAGCATCAGCCATCCCAGAACCATGGACCAGGTTGGGTAGTGATACGTTCCGTACGTCATCGGCTCCCATTGATAAAAGCTAAAACCCAGGATGAACTGGAGGGGAAAAAAATCAGGAAGAGAAGGATTTGTAGCCAGCGTGGTGGCCATATGTTATCAGCACTGCAGTACAGTCATCCAAGGAAGATAACATGCTCACTACAGCTTTGATCTTTACAGTATGCCTGTGCGCAATGAGTCTACATGCTGTATAATGGCAATTTGTTCATGTAACAACTGTTCAAATCACTGCTGTTCAATGCAATTATCATAATAACATGGCTTTAACTCTATAAGTGCGTGGACTGAAAGCTGAAGATCCCTGGGTATATGGCAATCACACAATGCTTTTAATATCTTTATAGAATTCCTATGTTAGATTTACTGAAAGGTCTTCTGTAATACATCTCAATGCCTGCAAGACCCCCTATAGATACTGCCCCTACTGTGTACAGGTAGACTGGAAGATGCTTGTTGAAAAAATAACTGTACAATGCTTTGCTTGAATGTGATTCAACATAAATTAGAACATGGTTTGGCCACTTACATGTGGGTGGGGGTGGGGTGGAGGGGGCCAGAGCACTCTTGGCACTCTAATCACTACAGCAGGGGTGCTCGAAAGGTCGATTCCCTGATGTTGTAGAACTACAACTTCCATGATGCTTTGCGTGCCTTTGGAATGCCTTTAGAATGGCAAAGCATCATGTAAGCTGTAGTTTTAAAACATCTGGGGATCTACTTTTTGGACACTACAGTAATTAGAATAAATCGCAGGATTGTCAGTGAACATGTAAGCAGTGAGCTACTTGTTGTCTTGACAAAGTCCCAGGTTCCAGAAATGCAACATGTATTGATATATTTTGGTCGAGGTTAGTCCTGAAAAACATATGAGTTAGAGAATTGTCACTGTTCGGCTTAACATTACCACCAGCACAGGTTTATGCAATCGCTCTTTTCCGAAGAAAAGCCTCTGAGAGTATTGCATTTACAGCAAAGTGCTGTGAGATTGCCAAGAGATTGTTGATAGATGTAAACCTCTGCTTTATCACATGGGATAACGGATATTAAGTGTTTCCGCATGTGAGTGATTTATGTTAACAATCTGTGTATGTGGAATATTTGATCATTCCACTCTTTTTTCAAACATTTTTATTTTTTTTATTTTTTTTATGAACACTGTGAATTGAAGAGATTTTTATGTAAATAAAATGTTTGTTGTTCTCTCTATATTGGTGAGACTCGGCTTCCCTAAGATCTAGCTTTAACCCTTGCTGCACTGAATTTTATATATCTTTAGATTCTGTCAGTTTAATTTGCTTGATTACTAGCGTGGAAATGTGTTTGGCTCATTAACTTTTCTTTTGCTATTTTTTTTAAAATAAATAATAAAAAATAAATAGATTTTTTTAATGCATTGTCTCCAAAATGCATTAAAAATAGGGTTTAAACTTACCCTTGCATTTCTCTCTACTCTGAGACCTAGAACGCTACTGGCCCGAGGATTGGTGTCAGTAAATGGCGTACAGTCAGTTGTATATCCGGACATTGTATCTGTAATATAACTTCATTCTCTCTGTTACCATTTATCAAACTTCCAAGCCCTGAATTGCTTTGTACAATACACTGAGTTACTTGCTCTGAGTGTGCTGCGGGCCTTGGTTTGTCAATTGGACAATAAATGATAGATAAGTCTGGGACCGTTTCCCCCCTTACTGATAGCAGGCCTGTCAGAGTCTGGAAACAGAAATGGTTTCGGAACATCATAAAAAGATGTGATGAACCCTCCCTGTGAATTCTCAATTTCTTTCATTCTTCTCCTTTTAGTCCCCTGAACAAAATCCTCCCGGACTGCACTAAATAATAAATCCCAATAAACACTTTGAATGCAGTGATAAACAGCTTGCTGTAATCATTCCACCTGATAGACAGAAATAGGCCAGTTCTGTGGTTTTTTTCTCGGTAGCCACGGCAGCAAATTAAACATGGACATTACAAAACATGATATGAAGAAGAAACTGTCACATGTATAAGCATATATCACGGGGATTCAAAGATTTTAAAGAACAAATTATCTCACAATTAGGTATAACTATATAGATAAATATATATATATATATATATATATATATATTTGTTCTAATGTCTTTATGCTTTGTCTTATGACAGCATAAACCTATTTAGTTTAGAAAAACGTCGCCTGAGAGGGGATATGATAACATTATACAAATATATTCGGGGCCAATACAAACCATTGTGTGGAAATCTATTCACAAACCGGACTTACATAGGACACGAGGTCATACATTTAGATTGGAAGAAAGAAGATTTCGTCTAAGGCAAAGGAATTTTTTTTTACTGTAAGAACAATAAGGATGTGGAATTCCCAGCCTGAAGAAGTGGTTTTATCAGAGTCCATACAGATGTTCAAACAGCTACTAGATGCATACTTGTAAAAACAGAATATTCAAGGATATAATCTTTCAATGTAGGGTAATAACTGCTTGATCCAAGGATTAATCTGACTGCCATTCTGGGGTCAAGAAGGAATTTTTTCTCCCAGCTTGTTGCAAAATTGTGCTTCAAACTGGGTTTTTTGCCTTCTTTTGGATCAACAGCAAAAAACAAATGTGAGGAAGGCTGAACTTGATGGACGCAAGTCTCTTTTCAGCTATGTAACTATGTAACTATGTCATTTTTCTGTTTTTTATTTTTTAGTGAAAGTGATTTTTGTTTGTTTGTTTTTGCTTCTTTTTTTTTTTTTAACCTAGCAGACACATGGCCACAGCCTGAACTCCAATTCCCGCTTACACCCCTAAATGTCAGACTTCAAATCTAGAAATTCATACTCTGACTTCGAAGTATTAACTAATGCAAGCAATAGATCATATTCTATTTCTTTAGGCTACTTTTTATATTAAACTGAAACTTAGTGTTTTCATAATAATCAGCTTGTATGTCTTCCAATTACTAGGAGGCACACCCAGATCTACAGATCTAGAGGTTAAACCCCAATTATGACATGTTTCCCTCTATGTGCCTCCAGAAATCTCTTTATTAAAATGTCAGACCTGGGTAAAAGAAGGCTTCTCCACGCTGGGTAAAATATGGCCTCTCCAACAGCCACGATCTCTCCTGATGGAAGCACTATACAGCATTGCTTGAGAAGTGATGCACATGCTACACCCTGAATTAATACATTTTGTTTCTAAACTCCTTCCACAATCTGCAGGTTAATTCCTTTCATCCACTTTGATGACATATATTCTACCATGATCTCTATTAATAGTGATTCTTGCAGTTCTTTAATTATTAGATTCATGATGTAGTAACGCAGCTATGGCTCCAGAACATTTTGAAATTCTACCTAACAAATTTTCCAACAATTGTCTGTAACAATGGTTCTTGTTTATCTGAGACACCAATATATAGAAAATCTATAGCCCCCAGTCCCCATGCTGTTTATTAGCATTTCACCTCCTGAACTGATGTATTTTGCTATTATAACCCCAGTGATCCCAGCAATTACTAGTCGATGCCTGTTAATGAGCCATATTCTCCTGTAAGATTCATATTTCTAACCATTTAGCCTTTACAAACAACAAGAATAAGTTAACCATAAATGTTGGGTGTGCCCCATCAGTATGTCATTACTAAGCAAGGTAAGCTGAATTTGGAGAATTTAGATAATGCAGAACTATCAGACTGTGGAATGGTCTTTAAAAGACAACTATTACCTCAAAACTAATTTTAAGATAGTAATCCTTTTATCAAGTTTTGAAAGGAAATAGATGTTTTTAAAAAAAAAAAATGAAAATCTCATCCCTACCTATAGTAGACATGTGCAATTCATTTCGTTCGTACATTCGGATGAATTTCGTGAAATTTGGACATTCGGATGCTTACTAATGTCTGAAGTTTGAATTGTCGAATTGCTAAAGTTGCGAGTTAGGGTTAGGGGTAGGGTTAGGGGTTAGGGGTTAGGGTTTAGGATTCAGGGGTTAGAGGTTAAAGGTAGGATTAGGGTTAAGGGTAGTGTTAGGGTTAGGGTTTAGGGTTTGGGTTTAGGATTAGAGTTTAGTGTTAGGGGTTAGGGTTTAAGGGTTCAGGTCTAGGGGTTAGGGTTAGCATTTAGCGGTTAGAGTTAGGGGTTAAGGTAAGTGTTAGGGATAGGGTTAGGGTCCGAATTACCGAAGTTCCGAATTGCCATAGTGCTGAACCAAACCAAATGTCATTGGTCCTAATTGTCGAAGCAGACGAAAAGTTTGTCTTACCTGAATTTCCAAACCAAACCAAACCAATTTGTTTGCCCTTGCACATCCCTAACCTATAGTATATGACAGAATCCTTCAGCCACGTACATGCACCTTGGGTCAGACAGTGTTTGAATTCCAACCGTAAGTCTCTATGGTCTTCCTAGTTTCTGTCCAGGGAATGAAGTAGGAAAGATCATAGAGACTAACTGTCGGTTTTCAAACACTGTCTGACCCAAGGTGCGTGCATATGGCTGAAAGATCCTGTCATATATTAAAGGTAAAAGTTTATTTAAAATTCCTTTTTCATATACTTCAAAAAAATAGTTAATTTCATAGCTTGATGACAGAATTATTGTATTAAAAATTATTTTGATGTAGCAGTTGTCCTTTAATCTACCAACATTTCCAAAAAGTCTCAAATGTTACAATATCTGCATTATACTGACACCCAGTGTGTCAAGTAAGAACTGCATACACAATTACCATAGTCAAAATTGGATCATTCATGAATTCTGACACAAACATCATAACTGAGGATTGTTTTGTGGGAAAATAATGCTAGTGATGGGTTCTGCAGATTTCCTACACTCACACACACTTATAAAACACAAGAAATGCATGTCACCTATTGGGTTACCCCACCTCATGGAGTAAAGACACCACCCAAATCCCTCTCTCCCTCTTTCTATCCTAATGTCCCTCTTTTCTAGGAGCTCGATATTGTTAGTGAGTCCGAGTGTATAACAGAGCTCCACAGCAATAATACTCCCAGTTATGTGTCTTTAAACTACAATAAAATCAATAGAAATCAGTCTATGTAAATAAGATACATTGCTCTTGTTACAAATTAAATTTTAGATGTATAAATTGTTATCCGTAAGTCACCTTAAATTTCTGAGAATATCCCTGGCCACAGGCCACACCCCCACTAACACCTCTAAAATAAAACCCTCTTTGACCATTCCATTTGGAATGTTTGGAGGCATACACTAGAGTAAAAGAGATCCACTCCATCCCTGTTTCTCCATCCAGCCGATGCTAGCTTTAACTCGTTATTGTAAGCACCAGAATGCTATGCTGATGGTGTTCCTTATTTTGATAGAAAGAACTCTGAATTATATCAAGGTTTCATCCACTGCTCATTTTATTTGTTTCGTTTTTTCATCTACTTAGCGTTTCAGAGTTCGGGATTTCGGATGAATTGTCGATCGTCTGAAATTCAGGCAAATTTGTTTGAAACCGAATGCAAAAGTTTTCTACTTAGTGAAAAATCAACAAAGGACTTGTAACTTTTAATCCAAATGTGTTGGCCTAAATCTTCACAAATCCTGGTTTAACCCCTTAAGGACCAAACTTCTGGAATAAAAGGGAATCATGACATGTCACACATGTCATGTGTCCTTAAGGGGTTAAAGAATAAATCTCACTCGAGAAAATCTTTGCTAACTATCGAGGTATTTATTTAGTTATACCAAAACTATATTCTATATGTTACCAAACTGACTCTTAATTAATCTGAATAAGTTCCCATTCTGTTCTGATTCATGAACCAGCCCAGGCGACATTAAAAGTGCTTGAATTAGTTCAAGAACCATATTAATCATGGAATATAATGTGATTCCTGGGCTATTTCCCCATATTAATCAGCCAGTGGAGAAACAACTAAAAGACAAAATAACTAAACGCTTAAATAATTGAGGCCACCCGTTTACTTTGTTTTTAACCCTTTCACCACTACTTGTGGTTCTAGAGAATCTTAGGGACCATATCACCAGGATTGCCATAAGATTCCTTTTATTTATATATTTTTAACTATTTGTTCACTGGCAGATTGTGCAAACAGTAGCAAAATTTGTGAATTTCTTTGATCTCGCTTTTAAAATGCAAATTTATTTAATCATTTTGTGTGTGATTCAGACCGTCTATCAGCTGATGTTTTTGAAGACACAAATCGGTCCAAACTGGATTGCACATTCAGCTTGATCCAAATTTATATGTGATGTGCCTTAAATAAATATCTGATTTGCAATTCCAGATTAATTCTAGGAATTTTCGCATAATCTTGCAAATCATCATTACAGTCTAAACCTAGTGAATAACATGAGTGATTAAATCATCATCGCCATGAAATGAATTATTGAAAATCAGAGGATGGTAGCACTTGGAAGAAATATCATGTTAAAAAAGAACAAACGAATCTGTATTTCTATAATAGGGTTACAATCACAGATTCAGCTTTAAATGTAGTGATAATTGCTTTACACGAGGAATGTATCAATAAAGTATGTTAGAAATGACACGTATCTTAAAAGTGCTAACTCTGACTTTATTTGAAATTCTATGCAATTCTTCTTTCTCTCCCTATCTCTGCCGTTGTTAGGTGCTCTCTATCTCCCTAAACATATTAGTAACATAAAGATTGGTTTGTACTTAAATTCAAAGATAAATTTAATTTCGTTTGGCAAGTGGACATCAGATGTTTATTTTAATAGAAAAATAATATAACTACACAGAATGTATTGAACAAAAAAGGACAATAATAAAAAAAATCTATAATTGCAAATAATTTACTTGTCTGTGACTTCTATTAAAATCTTGCTGATTGGAGGAGCACCGTGTTTGGCTCTGCAGTCCAGTTCCAATACACTGCTTGTCTACAAAAAGCAATGGATTGGAGGAGATCACAGGTGATCTGAGCTTGGATGCTGACATCACCAATGGAGGAGCTGGAGGCAACATCAGTAATCATTATTAAATTATTTAATTATATTTTTTTATTAACAAGATGCACCTTATTAACACTTATGAGGTGCATCTTTTCATAGCAATAATATTTTTTATATAATTTTTTTTGTGCCATCTTTTGTACTTGTTTTTTTTTTTTTTTATAATTATATTTTTAATTAACATAGGGGATGGACAGTAGGAGGTGTATAGGAGGGATTCTATCATCCCAACATAACAAATGTTATTTTTGTTACTTTAGGTTCCTTTCTAAAAACATCTTAATTCTACCCATAGGCGTGCGCAGCCTGTTGCATTAGGGTGTGCACCCTAAAGCACAAACACACACGCCGTGTGTATATACATTTTTATATACACATACACACACATACATATACATATACATACACACACATATATGTATACAAATACAAATATACATAGGTGCAGTGTGTGTGTGTTAGTGTGAGCAATGCAGCATGTAAGGGGTGCAGTGTGTGTGTGATTGCGAGGGGTACAGTGTGTGTGTAACTGTGAAAGGTACAGTGTGGTGTAATTGTGAAAGGTGCAGTGTGTGTGAGTGTGAGGGGTACAGTGTGTGTGATTGTGAGGGGTACAGTGTGTGTAATTGTAAGGGGTACAGTGTGTGTAATTGTGAGGGATTCAGTGTGTGTGGGGTACAGTGTGTATGATTGTGAGGGATGCAGTGTGTGGGGGGTACAGTGTGTGTAATTGTAAGGGGTATATTGTGTGTAATTGTGAGGGATGCAGTGTGTGTGGGGTACAGTGTGTATGATTGTGAGGGGTGCACTGTGTGGATGACATGGGTTAGGGGTGTGGAGGGGCAACGACAGGGGATAGGGGTGTGGAGGGGCAGCGACAGGGGTTGGGGTAGACAGTTAGTTACAGTGGTTAGGGGGGTAGAGGGGTAGCAAGTGACAGGGGGGGGTAGAGGGGTAGTGACAGGGGTTGGCGGGTAGAGGGTCAGTGACAGGGTTGGGGGGAGTGGATGGGCAGTAACAGTGGTCAAGGGGGATGGAGAGGCAGTGACATGGGTTAGGGGGTTAGAGGGGCAGTGACAGGGTGGGGGGTAGACGGGCAGTGACAGGGGTGGGGGGGGTAGGAGGGGTAGTGACAGGGGGGTTAGGGGTGGATAGGCAGTGACATGGGCTAGGGGGTCATGGGGCAGTGACAGTGGTTAGGGGGTAGAGGGCAGTGACAGGGGTTAGGGGGTAGTGACAGGGGTTAGGGGGTAGAGGGGTAGTGATGGGCTATGGGGTAGTGACAGGGGTTAGGTAGAGGGGCAGTGACAAGGGTTAGGGGAAGTGACAGGGGTTAGGGGGCCAGAGGGGCAAGTGACAGGGCTGGGGTAGTGACAGGCTCTTGGGGTAGAGGAGCAGTGACAGGGGCTGGGGGTAGAGGGGCAGTGACAGTGGGGGGTAGTGACAGGGGCTGGGGGGTAGAGGGTCAGTGGCAGGGGGTAGGGTGGGGGGCAGTGAGTGACAGGGGGTAGAGGGGAGGTGGGGGGGCAGTGAATGACATGGGGCAGAGGGGGCTTTAAATACCTTCCCTGGTGGTCCAGTGGGCGTCCTCTCTCTTCAGTCTGCAGCTCCGCCGGGAGTGAGCTGCAGACCACCTGGTGAGTATCGCGATCTCCAGGCAGAGCATTGCCGTGGTAACGCTCTAACAGGCTGGAGATCGCGAGACACCTCAGTCTGCAGCTCACCCCCGGCGGAGCTGCAGACTGAGGCTGGATCTCCGTCAGGGCAGACTGACAGGAGGGGCCTCGCACCTGGCGGCATTGTGGGCAAGCCGCTGGGCCCCCTCCTGTGGGATCCGACATGTTAGTCTGCCCAAAGGTAGTGCAGCACGGAGGTGTGATTAGGGTGTGCCCAGGCACACCCGGCACACCCCGTGCGCACGCCTATGATTCTACCCCAAAACCCCAAAATCATAACACCTATTTATCCATGATAATCACAATCTAACCAACACTTTCGTTCTGTTGTTAGTTTTCTGCACTCTGTATGCGAACCCCATGTCCCAGTAATTTAATTTTTAGATAATAATCTTGCAGACAAATATATTGAAACATTTGTTGACTATGTCCACATTTTACAAATAAATGCTAATGGATCATCTTGGTTCAGCATTCACTTTTCATTGAAAATATTTCATTCTTCAAGTCTTGAAGAGGCCTCAATTTAATTCTTTCAGATAAGCATTTTAAATGATCACAATCTGTTTTAAATGATTTATCTACAAAAATGCCCACAGACTTTATAGGAGACTGCATTTCACTGTTCCTGTAAATACTATTTAATTAATAATTGTGCTTCATGATTAACTGAATAAAGTATTAACCTAAAAATTGTCTACAAGCCTCAAGAATTGAGTTTTGGATGGACCATAAAATGGAAACAAAAAAAATATCTTACAGTTAGAATAGTTGGTGTCACGAAAGCCCAACAGATCTTCCAGAATCGATTTGGCTGAAATCCGATCATCATTTCAATGTCTTCACAAAATCTCTGCAAGCCTGAAACCATCAGAAAGGGAAACGTGGATAGGTGAAAATACTGAGACTATGTAAAGACTCGAAGACTTGGCATCGTGCCGGCAGATTGTTGAACTTTTAAAGGATGATTGTCATCAAATTTTCACTTCTTATTTTTTTTTTTTAAATGCATTAAATTTAATTAGACTTAATGATTTGTTTTAAATTCTGTACATTGATTTATTTATTTTTTTAGTTTTGGCCGAGCCAACTTGTTTGTTCCCACTCTACAGTTACCTGACCAACTGCTGCTCAACCTAACTTTCTGCTGCTGTTATTGCTCTGTGTGAAACTGTATACAGTATACATCACTAAAACAATATCATTAAGTTTCATTAAACTGAACATACTTCTAAAAATTAAGGGTGAAAATCTGATGACCGTGTCCTTTAAATTCCATTAGGCTTACGATGCTAGTTTATCTGTCATAATGACAGTTTTAAAAAAAAAAAAAAAACAAACACGGATTCTTCACACATCTGTTGCAAGTGATACCATATTGTGCATCTTCCAGGGTTCCAATTCAGAATGGCACTAATTGTCTTTGGACTAAAACAGACTTTCTCGCTGTAAGACCATTTTCCCAGTTACATGAAAAGCAGCTGGTGCCACCTGGTGGCAGAAACGTAGAATACAGTTCAGGTTGCATATTCATTATTTGTTCATAATATATTAAGTTGGGTAAATGTGCTTTTCTTGTATCCTCATCAAATTGGTATCTATAATTATTTTGTTTAATAATTTAATTACGTCATGTGTTACAAGATAATTTTTTGTGATTATTTTTTTTGTGAAGCCTATGGCCCTTTTTAGAATGAGTGATATATATTTTGTTTTTTAAACCATATGTTTTACAAATAGACAAAATAACCGAGAGGTAGATGTATCTGAGAATCACTATAGGTCCCACTCTGACTCTGTTTTCTATGCAATTCGTAGAACAATAAATCTGGCTGAAGACAACTTATTCTCTCATACACTGTCTCATTATTATATGGGCAGTCCTCTCTCAGCCACTACTCCTTGACCACAGGTAGCCAATGTTAGGGGTCAGTTCATGGAAAGTGCTGCCCAGCAATGTGTATAAATTAAAGATATCAATCATTAACCATTAGGGTTGATTCCACTGAAACTGGTGTGATTTAAATAGCTAAACAATTTGTGGATCTGCACATCTGTATCCGACAATTGGTAGGTGCAGGGTTTGGGGGATTATTTAAAGGGACATTCCACTGCCCATTTTTTGTGAAATCACTGTTTAGCAGACAAACCTCCAATGAAAACATGCATGTATTTCATTATGCATTTTTTCACTTGGAGTATATCTAAAAACAGCTTGCAATATCTACAGATCTTTTGTCTTTAGCCTTTGCAAACCCTCCCCTTCTAACCACGCCCAGACTTTCTGTGGCTGTCCAATCACAAACTTCACAATGCAGCTCATTGACAAGTCTTTGCAAGGCAGGTGCTCTGGGCATCTACCTATTGAGTTTATCTCCACTGACCTCAATGTGAAGTATTTGTCTCTTGAGTTTATCTCCACTGACCTAAACAAACCAGGAAGTAACAGGACCAGTTGTTTGATTGACAGCCAGGGGGGTTGTAACCAAGTTATATTATAAAAGTGTCAATTTCTATTGAAATCTGCACTTTTCGTAAAATGAAAAAAAGAGGACACACTCTTCACAGATAAAGCATTGCAGCAAGCTAAAGTGCTTTAGGGGTCTGCAGTGTCCCTTCAAGTCTCATAAATAATTAATTGAAATAATGAATTTTAAACACTTAGACGTAACAGTCAGCTAAAATGTCAGTTATTGCAAAACAGTTGTTTAAGAAATAATCTCACTATAAATGTCAGGGTTGCTTACTAAACTGGGATTTGGAGGGAATTCAAAGTGAATGTCAAACTTTTGGTGATAAAAACAAACTGGAAACATTGTCTGACTTGGAGAATTTTTAAAATTGCGACTCAAAAAAATTCCAATCCCAATTTCCTTTTCAGTTTAATTAGCTTTTTTCAGTATTTCCCACTTGAATAAATAACACTTTGTTTGTCTGTTGATTTGATACTTCTTAACGTGGATTATCCAGTGAGCGTTATATAAACTAGACATTTTAAAAGTAGGTCAATAAATAAATCCCTAAACACGTAAATCAGGGTTTGCGGTTGGGCTAGTTATACTCGTCCTCGCTAGATAATGCAGTCTGATGGCCGTAGTCATCCTGTAGTATACTCTGCTTCTATTTCTTGCTAGCGGCGTTTGGATCCTTTGTTCTGCTGTTTGTGTGAATCTTATGATGAGTTTAATCCTCCTTTTGGGAGCAGTAAACAGGAAATGATAACTGTCTTTAACACAAGTGCAGCTCATAAAACTAAAATATCAGCTATTTAAGATGCAAATTGTTGTTTGCCTCATTTAAGAGGCTTTCCAGATGTGTGTATGCGGCAGAAAAGCTTATTCCTGCCTGGGGTAGCCTGTAACGAATTCACAGCGAGCACTACATCTGTGGATTTTTATGTTCTAGCTCGGCATTCCGGCATATAGGACATCTTCTGCTCCTCCGCTAGATGCCTGGAACAGCAGCCCCGAACTACATTTCTCCTTACTGTGTGTGTCTGTGTGTGTGGGTGTGTGTATGTATCTTGTTTACCGTATACGTATGAAATTCCAACCAGTTCAAATATTGCGATGATGACCAGGGAGTACGAGGCAGCATATGTGTCGACAAGCTGCAACATATAGAGTCCACCCTGATGGAGAAAGACAGAAATCAGCAGAAAATTCCCCCATTTATCAAATTATTTTTGGGGAAAAATTTTTTATTGTATTTTATATTTTAATTTATATTTTACTTTCAACTAAAAAATAAAGTTTTTACAACAGGGCCTGAAACAGAGTCCCTATAAAACACTGCAGCCAGCCTCCTAAATAGGCATTTTTTTCGATGACGAGGGGCAACAAGACGTGTCTTGCAGAATTTAAGCCACAAATAACAGCATCAGAAAATGTCTTTATCTCACACAAGTCCCAAGTGTTCTTGTTTAGGAGGGGCAGTCACTATTTTAAGCCCAAATCCTTCTGTCCCTCTTTTCTCTCCTAATGTCCCTCATTTCTGTATTGTTGGTGTGTCTGACTGTATAACAGAGCTCCACAGCAATAATACTCCCAGTAATGTGTCTTTAAACTACAATAAATGTGTTTAGAAATCAGCCTGTGTAAATAAAATACATTGTTCTTTAGCTAGAATATTTTAGTTCCATAAATTATTAGTAATCACCTACAATTTCTTGGAACTGCCCCACCCCTGGCCACACACCCCACTCACACCCCTAAAATTAAAATATTCCGTCTTTGTCTAATTTAAATGTTGAATGGTACATTCTCAGCTATTTGCAACTTGGTTTAAAATCTCGGTTTAGTAAATATATCCTGTGCCATTTACCATAATAATATTTGCCCATACTAGTCCTGCCTATGGGATCTTGAAAAAAGTAAGCTGGCGTGCTATATTTGATAATACACGTGGCTTCAACTTTGCGTAACTTATGCAACTTTTCAAACTTACGGAGTTCTTTGTTATACTCTGAATTTTAGATAATTGCATTCACATTACAAATGTGAGTCTTAAATAGCCAAACAGTGGCTACAATTTGTTTTCCAAATCAGCTTTTTCAGCCTCAGTTGTGCAATTTGGATTTCATTTTCTAAAATTCAAACTTTAGTGAACAGTCCTGTGAAAGATCAGCTTAAACAATTCTGTTGTAGCAGGGTTAGTAGCCCAGTCTCATAGTAACCTGTGTGATCATCGGGAATCCCATAATGAAGAATGAGATGCAGCACACAAGCGTGAAGAGGGGCTTGTGAGTTCGCAGGTATTTCGGAAACTCATCCGATACAGATGTCACAATTGTTTCAATGGTAGCAAACTGTGGACGATAGAAAGAAACAGTCAGAGTTCAATTTCTAACAGATCATATTCCATTAAGTACAACACGAGATAGCAGCTCTGCTAAATGGCTAATCTACTGCTCTGTCAATACAACAGTATGCTTGTCCAGTTCCAATGATATTTCAATACTCTCCAAATGTCACAATTTAACAGAGCGAGTCCCTATATTTGGCCAAAATCCTTTTATCCTCTTTTGTACATTCCTAATGACATTTTCAGTTATATAAATCAGTTCGGTATGAAGTCACCTAAAATGTCCTAGAATTGCCTGGTAACACCTCAAACAATAACACCTAAAATTAAAGTGTGCCTTTTAGTATATTTACAATATTGGTAAGTATGCACCCCCAATTACATTTCTCTCAATCAAAGTTGAAAATGTTTTTCACACAAAAATAGGAGTAAAACGACAAATTTACGCTGTGTAAATACACATCATAAACATACTATTTGAAAAAATCAATTGAGGCTCCATTTAAAAAACAATTGTCCGAAATCTATTCATGTTACCAAGTTTATATTATGTCACTCATTATTTTAAAGGAATACTCCACTGCCTTTTTTTTTACTTTATTGTTTAGTAAAGAAACAAAAAAAAAACATAAGAACATACACGTGTTTAAGAAGGCATTTTTTCATTTGCGTTATATCTAAAAGTAGCTTGCAAAAGCAGCAGATCTCTTGTCTGCAGCCTTTGCAAACCCTCCTCATGAGAAGCCTCCGATTTGAGTATTCAGAGTGAATGTTTGTGCTGGGGAATACACCCATTCAGAGGATTTTTACTGAGAAGCATCTGTGTTGGAGCCACAGACCCACACATACACATGATTTCCAATGCTTCTCAACAGACTTTAAACAGGTCGGTGAGATCAGTTGAATCTGGTCTACCATTGTGGTTCGCAGGTTCAAATCCCGGCAGGGTAGGTAAAATGAGTACCATTAAATTGGACAATAGTAACATTCCCTGAATGTTGGGCAAAAACATGATATCCCCAGGACATACTTGGATGTACCTTTCCTGGTTAAACACTTATTATTAATACAGTTCATTGAGAAGGGGATAAGCCAACTGTGTCCTAGCACAGTACATCTGTCATTTTTTGGAATCTACAATTTAAGGTTTAGAGAATAAATCCAAAAGTATTTTTTTTTTGCATTTATTTTGCTCTGACTTTACTTTATAGTCTATGCTTCTCACTCAACCTCTATGAGCTAATCACTAATTATTACCTGCAACACAATGACTCCAACCTGACATAGCTTCTTCTAGGATGCCGTCATATACTTAGCCATCAGCTACATTGTCTTCTCTTTTATCTATAATCTTAAAGCGCATTATCTGTTTAGATGGTAAGTTTATGACCGCCTTGAATAGGACTTTGTATAAAACTCATAAAAATATTAAATTAACATTCTGTTTGTAAAAGTGTTTATAGTAATAGATCTCTCTGTCTATAAAAACTTCAGTCATTAACTGCAATCTTGTATTGAGTTCTGGATAGACGTGTTAAATAACATGAGCAAAGTAACAGACATGGGCTTCTATGTGCTCTGAAAAGCAATGTTTCTATATTACATAGTATTACATTGTTACATACGCTGAAAAGGGACATGCATCCATCAAGCTTAATCTTTCTCACATTTGTTTTTGCTGTTGATCCAAAAGAAGGCAAAATCTTTGAAGCACTTCCAATTTTGCACAAAGTAGGAAAAATTCCTTCTTGACCCAAGATTGGCTGTCCAATCTCTCCTGGGATCACAAAACTATCACCCTACAAATTAAAAATTATATCCCTGTATGTTTTTGCAAGCATGCATCCAGTTGCTGTTTAAACATCTGTACATATTCAGATAAATCCACCTCTTCAGGCAGAGAACTCCACGTCCTTATTGTTCTTACTGTAAAAAAACCTTCCCTTTGCCTTGGACTAAATCTCATTTCTTCCAGTCTAAATATGTGATCTTGTGTCCTATGTATAGTCCTGTTTATGAATAGATTTCTAGACAATAGTTTTTGTATTGGCCCCGAATATATTCTATGAGTCATCAAAGTTAAAACTTTCACAATCCTTAATAATTCAACCTAATTCTGCAATCAGGCTGTGCTGCAGAATATGCTGGTAACCTCATAGTTAATACACAATAAAAGAATTGCACAATTTAATATTCAAGAACTGTATTGCTCAATGTGACCACTAGGTGGCATTGCAGGGCTCTTATATCCCTGCATAGTGTCATGTAATACGGAACACTACACTCTTTGTCCACTATTTAGTGCTGCGGAGCTGTTCCCATTGGCTTATGTAGACTTGTGCAGCATTGAAGAGTTTTACACTGTGGTGCTATATAGCTCTTCCAACCTATTTGTGTAGGATCCTAGAACAAGGCTCAATATATTCTGAATTATTGGCAGCGTTAATAGGTAACTGTGTTATGTCATAGTTGCAAAAATGAATCGATTCCCAGTCTGTCATGGAGCTGCTCTAAGAAAATGTTAAATTATTAGCCTCGCTTTGTGATATTTATACCATAACATGTCTCCATAGTATCTGCCACGTCTTGACTTGCTGCCATCACTTGCTGTAAGTTGTGCTATCACACTGTGGATGGAGGAGAGTATCTGGCTATCAATGTACACAATAATTAGCTCCTTAAAAATCTTCTAATAGAGCTATATCAAAATAAAAGGGATTTTTATTTCTTTAATTATTCCCTTCCACCTTATCCTTGACTATATTGGTGATACATAAAAAAAGTCAATTTCAAATATTTGAAAGTTACAGATTTTTTTTTAGCAATTTGTTTTAAAATCCTTGTTTTGCCTGTTCTGTGTCCGACCTTGCCTTTCTTTTTATCTTTGCCTCTAAAGAAACTCATTATAATATTATTATTGTTGTTATTATTATTATTATAGTATTATAATTATTTTTGTTATTATTATTATTATAGTATTATTATTATATTATTATTTTTTCATTATTATTATTATTATTATTGTTATTATTATTACATTATTATTTTTATTATTGTTGTTATTATTATATTACTATTTTTACTGTAGACTATTCTGCTGCTGTTTCTATCTTTGGAATGACAGAAACAAAAGGCTATTAATCAAATAGTGAATACGGTTTGGGTAATACAGATGAAGTGGCCAATATATAGAAAGGGGAAAATGTGTAATTTAATATTAATCTGTATGGTGGTGATAACACTGGTAAATTGGAGAGACATGGTGGATTGTGGAAGATGAGGTCCTGAGTAAAGATGGTTTACACATTGTAAAATGGGGTGCATTGGGAGATGAAGGTTTACATATTGTAAAACGGGGTACATGGGGTATGATGGGTTACATATTGTAAGATAGGGTGCATGGGGGATGATGGTCTGCAATGAAGTTGGGGAAGTGACATGATTACATTAATACAATTTAGTGATGTAAAAATCAGGCATAACTGCAGCAACATTAACAGTTAAAAAGGAAAGTTGACTTTTTAATATAGGGATGCGTTATAATAGTTGATTATTACAGCTGCTCAATAGGCGGTTAAACCATCCTATACTATCTTATAATGTTATTTTATCATACCAGCTTTATATTTCCATAGAGTGGTGGTGCCCAATTACAGTTTTGCTTATGATGTGATGCAAATGTCACTTTTAATATTGTGTGTTTTTATTATTTTTTATCTATTTGCCACTGTGAAATAACTATTAATGTCAGTGTAATTTCTTTCAATATGACATGAGAGGTTATTTGTCCCCTTTTCCTGTTCTGATGTTATCTCTCTGTCGTCTGACACAGATACTGCTCTCGACTGCTTTGGAGATTGTTGCTTCCAGTGAAAATATATAAAAAATTTTTAATTATTTAATAAATCCCAGAACACATCCTACCTCACCCTTTTTAAACTTGTCTCCTGACGTCCTTAAATTCTGAATTAAAGTGACACAAATGGCAATAAAGCTATAAAAGCCTAGACCAGGAAGCACCTTTGGATCTCCAGATATTGTGGAACACATATCCCATAACGCTATTACAGCCATGATGGTGGCAAAGCATCATGGGAGATGTAGCAGACAACATCTGGATTGCTGAAGGTTGCCTTCCTCTGATCTAGACTATGATGGCTGGAATCATCAACAATTTAACCTTAAATGTTGCCATTTAGATTTTAATTCACTACAATGAAGTTTATTGAGTAAGATTGTAAACTCTTTGAAGAAGGGTTCTGATCAGCCTATTACTGTCACAATGTGTAATAGTATGCTGCTAAAGTCCAATTAATAATATTGTAAAGTGCTGAGGAATGCGTTGGCACTATATAAACGCCAGTAATACTAATAAATGCATATGACTTCGAGGCTTCTAAAGCATGATATGTGTCTGGTGTCAGCCGTCCTGTGAATCATTTCTGGAATTATGTAGGTAGGATAATCGTGTTCTGTCTGTAATAAAATACTAGCAGACAAAAATAACAGTGCAGAATGAAAGTCACGTGACGTTACCATTGTGTCCAATCCAAGGGTTAGCAGCATCAAGAAAAATATAATGGCCCAAAATGGTGAAAGAGGGAGCCGTGTCAGGGCCTCTGGGTAAACAACAAACGCAATTCCGGGACCTGCAACAAAAACATGACATATTATTTCGACTATATAGGCTCATTCACAATTACAAAATGTGTCCAATAAATGCCCCATTTGTCATTTTAATTTCTAACCAACCAAACACTGTTTAATGTACTTAAACGTTACGAACAAGATTTTAACTTAATAGATTCTTCCAAAGAGAGTGAACGTGGAATATTTGAAAAGATACAGACAGAAACAGAGGAGAGAAAACAAGACATTGCACACCGACCATATATGGAGATGTAAGAAATAAAATGTATGTATGTATGATCATCAGCACTTCACTACGCACATGTACAAAGCCACGCAGACCCTAAATAAAATTTGTGTGCACATCTAGGTGCAGTAATCTTGGAATAATCCCAATTTAATAAGCTACACATGGATCTGGCAGGAGCTGAAATTCAACACCCTTATGACCAGCTTTCAGTCACCTATAAAACCCTCAAAATAACCCCAACATTGACTTTTCACCCATTGAGGTAAAGAGGGTAATGATAACCTTTCCAAAGGCCTACAAAGGGTTAAACAGCTCGATATTCAAACTTGGGGGGTTTTTTTTCTATAATTCTGTGGGACAGTAAAATTCAAACTCTTACCTTGATCGGCCACTTTATCAATGTCAACCTTTAGTTCGTGGGCCATGAATCCAATCACTGAGAAGATAACGAATCCTGCAAAAATGCTTGTGGCACTGTTAGTACATGTGACAATCAGTGTATCCCTGCCAGAACAAAGCACAGATTTATTATTTGGAACTCCGCTTCTTCCAGTAGTTGATAAATACAAAACTATCTAGAGATCCGAGAATAAGAACCTAGTTTCGCTCTTCATACATCTGTTACCCTAAGCATGTTGCATTGGCTGCGCTCTGGTGTACATGTCAATCCTGGCTTTGAAGAATATTCTCACGACTATAGGAATGCATAACTGCCTATGTTTTGGTCATATTGTGACTTGGGAGCTTTGTATGTGTGCAAACAGGCAGGAGCAAACTTTTATCACATTTTCTATTCATGCCTTTATATATTGCCTCCTTTCACGATGTAGTTTGTTGAGGAACCTCTAGGAGGAGCTGTTGTTTCGAGTCTTTTCCAGTCATCTTCACTAACCTTTGATATTTTTTGTTATAGAATGAAAGGGCTCTGGGTTAGTGCTAATTAACTTGTATATGCCTTGTTCTATAATTGAACATGTTGATTACCCGACTCAAACTGCCGCACAAACAACGATAATCTGGGTTTTGAACATAGTTTTATTTAAACCACAGGAGCTTAATATTCCAACCACACCAGATAATGGCATGCCCAGGACCCCGAGGGATGTTAAAACCCCACAGACCAGACATGTCAATAACTTCCCTAGCTTTCGCTATTCTTGATGTATATCCTACATCTCACACACTTTTTACAATGCTCCCATCACAGTCAGTATAAATCCACCTGATCACTGTTCTCACCTGTACAGATTGTTGTGAAACTTGTTATAAGATGATAATGTAATGAGCCCTCCCCAGGCCGCCGAAAGAGAGAAGAAAATCTGTGTTGCTGCATCTTTCCAAACCTGAAACAGAGAGATTCAGAATTCAATTTGGAATTCAATAAATCACCCTTAGTTTCCAAATTCAGAATCCCCATCATTGCCAAATTGGTCATTTTAAAACACAAGATCTCAGACATTATCATATGAGCAGTCTATACAATGCTATACAATGCCCACACATCCTTATTGTCTGCCTATATAAACAGACATCCCAAAGGAATTTAAAAGATATCCTAATGCGAGTATAACATCATGTTTTATGAATGCATTGAGGGGTTAGCATACATCCTCCGTCTTCTCATTACTAGGATTTAAAAAACCGACCTGTGTTTTAACTTTTATTTTTGTCTTGTTTTATGTTTAATTCCTCCCTCTTTGCACATGGGACGAGAAGAGGTAGAAAATACCTACATCTCTTAATAGGAATGGGCAGAGTTTGGGTTTTTTGGGGGATTTGTGGGAAAACAATTTCTGTTATCACCTGGTAAGAATAGGGATCCTAGTAAACCCTTAATGATTAGTCACTCAGCCACCACCCATGGTTAGAGGGAACAGAAGGAAGCCAATTCTTGCAGTGAGAGGAGCCTGTCTCTACCCTCCTTGTACAGATTAAGGGGTAGTTTGGTTACAATCAGGAAGATGTTGATGAACATTGGAATTTCAACAATTCTACGTGAAATTTGGATTTTATTTTTTAACTAACCAAAATCATGAGGAAGAACATAATTGTAAACAAGAGACTACTGAAACATTTTAACCGTTAACAATGGAATCAATTAACCCTTTTAAAATTCTAAGAAATTAGGTTTTTAAAATACAAATGTTGAACTTATAAAGGTAGCATGATTTTCAAGATAAGAAATATGAAATATTATTGAGAAAAATATGGATGAATATGTAAATAAATATTGTGTTTTTAAATGCAATGTATGTACAATCAATGAACAGTTAGCAATTATTGTATTTCAAAGTCATATATGTTTCTGAAATCCCCCCCCCCCCCGACTTTAATATATATCAATATATAACATTTAATGTTTGTCGCTTTGAGCAATCAGATATAAATAGTCAGATTAATTGGCCGATATAATATACAGGCTAATGAAGACATGAACATTCAGGATATAATGAGTAAACACTTGAAAAATTTTTATTTAACTATTTCAGAGCCACGGGAAGAAAGGCTTGTCATTGAGAGCATCCTAGAGACTAGTCAAGGTTTTGATAACAAACTATCTCAAGATATATATAGGTACTCATTGGAGTGTCAACAAAAAATGTTCAATTGTCTTGTTAACATTATTAACTACTTCATGGCAAGAATTCTATGTGTCTCGAGGATAAGGTCATAGGATATTTTTTTAATGGCAAATTAGCTGTTAAATATTTAGCGCACACACTTATGATGTGCTATTTTTAAAGGATGTTTAGAGTTTTTTTAATATACATTACATACATAGATAACTTCTCATTTAACTGTATAAAATTAGAACATATTAAAAAAGTTACAGTGTTTTACTGAAGAAAAATATGTATAAGGAAGATTAAAGATTCATCCATTTGTCCTGGTTTTGAAAATACCTCCTATGTCTAAGATTTGTCCAAATTTTTGGGGAGTAAAAAAGTCTCATACAAAAATCATGTGTCAATTCCTGTATTAAAGCTAAAGTTTTTCAAATTTTGATCTACCGGTATGTTCGATTATCGAATCCAACATTTCAAAACAAATGCACACATTTTTTTAAAAATAGACTCCTGGGGCATTTGATGGCGACATTAATGCAGCCATTTTATTACCAGTGCCTACTTAAATTTCAAGTAATATCTATAACATATTCAGACACAGCATTGTATTTGTTGTGAATTTCATAAACCTACTTTATGCTACTGCAGTAATATCCCCATTATTGTGTTCCACCAGATTCCCAAAGTACAGAACTTGCCCCAATCGTCTCTATTACTCCTGATCGCTGTGAGAAAAATACATACTTTGGACTCATTCGACATTTTGTGATACAGTGGTGAAGAACAAGCTTTTATTTTTCGTTTTAAAGGGAACGGGTTACCACAATTCATTCTTTGAGCAAGAGCAATATTTGAAGCCCTTTGGTCACTGAGCTATATGGATAAGAGGTTGAAGGGTTACTCGAAGCGCCAAGATCACCTCAGTAATTTGAAGTTGTCATGGTGCCTCTGTATTTGCAGCTTGTTTAGAGTGTAAGGGGATGGTTGTAAGCAGCGTACAAGCATTGAAGTGCTAAACTTAGATAAAATTCTACTTAGAACATATGGAGCTTCAGCCTCCAAAATAATGCAAAAAAAATCTTTCATTGGACAAAATTAGTCTCAGATCGAAAAAATACACTTATGCAGATCGCCCTGACCACTGCACATAGTCATGATTGGATAGAACTCTACTGGTGCAAATAACCGCTTATATTTACTGTTTTACTTTTTAAATAATGCCCACAAATGTACAATTTTTAGAACACGTTCTTTCAATAGTTAGTTTTGTTATTATTTGGTTACAATAATGGATGGACATTTTGGACTCACCATGGCATCTGTTAACTTCTCCCAGTTAGGGGTAATAAAGTACCACATCCCAGCTCCAGCCCCTGGCAGGGTAACTCCTCGGATGAGAAGAATGACAAGGACTACATATGGGAAGGTTGCCGTAAAATACACAACCTGTATAATAAAGCAAAATGGGGTCAATTCACACCAAGTAACCGAGGAGATGAGAGGAGGAAAACAGCACAGCATCAACATCACAATACAAAAACTAAAAAACATAGATTACCCAGGTAACCCAGGAAATTAGCTAGACCCTACTGTAATGATCCCTACAAGATTAAATTCATCTCTTGGATTATATAGATCCCTTATAGTTTACAATGATATAGAAATACAGAGGTTGAACTGCTACCCCACAAAATAGATGGGCTCTTCAGAGTTCAGACTGTTCCCTTAAGGAAAACACGGGTCCAGGAGGAGTTAAAGGGACACTCTACTGCCCAAATATTAAATACAAATCACTATTTAGAAGATATACCTCAAATGAAAATAAATGCATTAAGTTATGCTTTATTTTCATTGGGTATATGTCTAAAAAAAAAAGCTGCATATTTCTTGTTTGCAGCCTTTGTAATCCCTCCCCTTCTAACCACGCCCAGAGTTTCTGTGGCTGTCCAATCACAGAGTTCCCAATTCAGCTCATTGAGAAGTCTTTTGCTCTGGGCAATTCCTACCTCTTGAGTTTAGCTCCACTGAGCTAAACAAACCAGGAAGTAACAGGACCTGTTGTCTCACTGGGTGTAACAAGCTTAATTTATAATGGTGTCATTTTCTATTAAAATCCGCACATTGTGTAAAATTTAAAAAAAATAGGAAACACTCATCACACATAAAACACTTCAGCAAGCTAACGTGCTTTAAGTGTGTGGAGTGTCCCTTTAAACTGAGATTTCAATGAATATATGTGTTCTGGAGGAATAAGCAAATCTTTCCTGTTTCCCTCAGACAACAGATAGGTTAGTGAAATGAGACTCGTCCTTATAGCTTTAGATGGGTTCTCAGGAGGTCAGACAGTAGTATCATATGCATGGCTCCATACCCTACAACTTCCATTAAATAATCCACTAGTGTGTCGATCTCTAATGGATCCTATATTCAAGTAAGAGTCCCTTGAAATTATTATATTTGATGGCTCGTTGACTCTTAACCAATTGACGAGTTGAGTTGATTTTATTTATTATATTTATACACTCACTTTTATACCATTTAGGGAATGTGGTACCAGTATACTAATTTTGTGAAACACATGTGCTGTGTGTTCCTTTCCCCCATTGTGTAACAATTATAAGCATCACACTCTGTGATCTTAGACACTACTTCTGGCTTAGACTACTGGTGATTGTCTAATAGATATGGAAGAATTAATTAATTTTGAAGTGTTTTGCTTGACAAGTCTACTCCATTCCTAAGCTGTGTGTAAAGCCATTACTGGCATGTTAGGAACACAGGCCGTTGACTTGTTTCAGATATCCCTCATGCAGTATATGCCAAAACTAATACCTATGGGGTGTTTTTTTTTAACTCTTAGAAAGCTTCAGAGGTGCATTGCTGTGTGAAAACATATCATTCCTGATTGACTTCCTTTTTATTTTTATGGGGGTTTTTTTTGTTTTGTTTTGTAGATTAGTTGCAAATATTTGAAAATATATATTTTTCTTTTTTCTTTTTTTTTTTTTTTTTGCAGGAATCTAAACTGTTTCAGTGCTGTTTGTTGAAAGTAATTCATGGAGCCCTGAATACAATAGGAGGTTCTGAGTACATTGTCACCCCACTGATACCTGCAATAAAACAGACATTACACAACCACAGCGACTCACAGCCACTAACTGCACAATGCACAGCTGTACAGGACAAACCGCAACATGGATAAGAACAGAAACAGAACATTCCTGAATATCCCACACAGGGAACACGACACTGAAATACCTCTGGTTATTGTGCAGGTAAGTATCTGTGCCATTTACTAATCTGAATGTGTGATATCAGGTGGGTGACCGTAAGTGCTGTGTTTAATTGAATTGAAGTATTATCTAAGGCTGGAAGTGACAATTCCTTGTCGTAGAAAATTAGTGAAATAGTGGATGCATTCAGCTCGATTCAGTCAAAAGTGTTTTACTTAGTGGGCTAGTAATTTAAATAATACTTTCTAATGGTCATATCAAAAGTCCTATATTTTGTTGATCAGATAGGTATACTCGCATGGGCATTTTTGCAACAAAATTTCATAGGTGCAGACTAGTGATGTCCCGAACTGTTTGCCGAACGGTTCGCGAACGGTTCGCCACGAACGGTTCGCCACGGACTCATCATTGAGTAAACTTTGACCCTGTACCTCACAGTCAGCAGACACATTCCAGCCAATCAGCAGCAGACCCTCCCAGACCCTCCCACCTCCTGGTCAGCTCACTAAGAATGCAGCTTCACAATGGATGCTGTCCAGGAGGAGGGAGGGTCGGGAGGGTCTGCTGCTGATTGGCTGGAATGTGTCTGCTGACTGTGAGGTACAGGGTCAAAGTTTACTCAATGATGAGTCCGTGGCGAACCGTTCGTGGCGAACCGTTCGTGGCGAACCGTTCTTGGCGAACCGTTCGCGAACCGTTCGGCGAACAGTTCGGGACATCACTAGTACAGACATTATTGTTTTGGAGAGTAAAGAAAGTAAAGTTGTTTCATGCTTTCAATGGCGCAAGCACTAATTCCAGTAGTTAAAAAAACAATGCCTAAAGAGCATGTGATATGGAAACAGAAAAAATACACATAAGGTTATATTCTTTTGTATTTTGCAAATATGGTTACTGTCACTGGGTTCCAGTGGTCTAGGTCCATAACTCTGTTTATACCTTTATATGTCGGTTTGTTCCATAGTAGAACGTGAAGGCTGGATTCCTATTGGTACATTTTGTATTCATATTTTTGCTGTAGGTGGTATGCTTTTTTCATTTGGGACAGTTGAAATGTATCTCCACACACTCACCATGGGTGTGTTTATCAGGAGGATGGAAACAAGGCTTGCAATGGATGACCATTTTGGATTGGTTGTTTGAAAGAGTCTTCAACTGAAGAGACATTCTGATTGGTGGAATGTTTCTACATCACACATATCGTTAGCTGACTTAAGTCAAAGTCCCTGAATTGCATACTACTTAAAAGGATCGTAAGATTTACTTCCAATTCTACATCCCTGACAAAGTGTGGATAGGGACAAAACGCGTAGGGTGAGCTTGTCTGGATGATTTTAGCAATTTTAACATCTTTGCCTTTATTTCGTTGTTTGTAGTGTTCTTCCCATGTGAGTTTTTTTCTTGGTGTTTTGTTAATATTAAATTCTATATATACTTTTTATATTGTGTCTGCTCCTCATCTTCCCTATTGTCAGGATAATCGAACACCCAACACGCAGAACTTAAGTAACACATATAAAGAAACACTAAAATATATTACTTGACCTCAGAATGGGCAGATTTAACATTAATGTAGAGAACTACGGGACAGGCCAAGGTTAGGGAAATAGAATGTATGTAAACAGCAGATAAGCCAAAACCCAAGGGATACAGAAGTCAGAATAGTCAGAGAACAAGAAAACGGCAAAATACTAAAGAATCAATAAAAATAACGTGCTCTTGGATAATCAAACTGGAAACCACAGCAGGGCACTGAAACTGGCTATTCCAGGTTTAAAGAGCTCAAGGAGGGATCTGATTGACCCACATATGCCATGTTACATCAGAACATGCGTGCGTGCATACATCAATGTGATGACATATGCATATTTATGAACATCGGAAGCTTGGGGAATCTCAGAAGTCATAAAAGGCTCTGGGGAAAAAAGCCTCCGGTGTCTCTAATACTTCTAGACCTGGCTGCAGCTAAGGTAAGAGGGGCTAACGGCGGAGTTTCCACTACCTTGTGGGAATGCGCCAGGTCCAATATTGTGCTCTGAAAGGTGTGTGGCCCACAGGCGCTGTGACACCTATGATAAGATGAGATTTCATCTTAAACACTTAATGCCAACTTGGGATTTTCCAAAAAGTTTTGAGAATTATTCTGTTGCTGGTATTCTTTTTCTATTACAAGTCAAGAATTTCCAATGGTGTCTGAAAGATATAGCATTGTGTATATTTGTTTCTGTTTCCATTTCATTCACACCTTTATAGATTATTTTATTGCCGGATTTCTGTTGTTGGCAGACTCTTCGGAAAGGAGCTACTCATTGGAAGTATTTACTAATATAATTTACGAGATGATTATCAGTTGATGTTATTTATTTTGTCATTTTTTTCATTTCCAGTATTGATTTGGGCACTTTTAGGTGATACAATGGGGGAGATCAATCAAAGTGTTGCAAAACATTTTGTACTTTTTTGAGAGAGGGCATTTTTTTTTTTTTTTTTGCCCGTGTCTGATTTTTCAATCTTTTTCATTTATTTGTACCGTAATGGTAAATATTTAATATATGCTGTCTTACCAACAGCACAATGAATTTTATAAATGTTTCCATCACTTTTTTTGCCAAAAAAAGTGTTTCACTTCACTCTTTTCTGCCACTCTAAATTTGTTGGCCTTTTGTGAAATGGTTAATTCGGCGCAAAAATGGCAGAATTTAGGCAGAGAAAAACTGACACTTTTTAGACTATTTTTAGATCACACTAATAAATACCAACAGACTAGAGAGCAAAAATAAAACACACTTTGTAAAATCTCCCCCAGTGTTCATTTAGTAATTAGTATGTTGCTATGACAATATATCAGTTAAACACAATGTATCATAGCTCGTCAGCTTTGGCAATTATCAAAAAACAGATTGGAATTTATTCACTGAACTGGGAATTATGAAGAATGAACAAAAGAACTGAAAATGGTAAGGTAAAATATTAAAAGAAGAATTTTAGAGTTTTTCCAATTTATGTTGGCCTAAAATATGCAATTCTCTTATTTTTCAACAATTCCTGAATTAGTGAATAAAATCCTCTTTTTTGTCTGAATAGCTGAAACATCTTTACTTCCTACCTCTATAGAAAAAATATTCTTTTATCTGTCACCTGTAACAATATTTTTAATATTTTAAAAGGGAAAACAATATTACTTTAAAAAAAAATGCAATTTGAGCTGGATAAAATTCTAGCTCTGGATTTGAAAAATAAAATACGGTGTTTATTATGTGGGTTTTTTTTTCTTTTTGGGTGTGTGGGACAGGAAAGTTCATAAAGTTGGAGAGAATTGCTAATTGTAACGATAGAGTATTTACAGTCCAGCCAAATATTTGTTAAGGGAATATCTCCTATTCCTGGATTGTAAATTGGGAGCAAAATTTACCGTTCTACAAACTAGACTTCTGCATAGAATCCATAGAAATTTGAGTGGTCTGCGGAAGTTCCAAATAAGCCCTGATATGATGAGCTGAGTGTGTGTTTATGTTGGTGTGGTCATGGGGCACTAGGTGTATGTGTCCTGACATTTTGGTTGGAGGAGGCAGCTTGACCTGTGTCGTGTGAGTGATTTGTAGAATAGGAAATACAATAACCACCTCCTTCACACTAACCATTCTCAGTAGTAAAGATTCCTGTTACTACCATGGACTTCATTCCAACAGTCCCTGAGACCTGAAAAACGTGGAAAGTTAAATCTCTTCAACATAAAACACGCAGCACACGTTTTCTTCAAATTCTCCAGGTTCCAAAGGGTCATTTACAAGGTAAACAGACAAATCTGGATTGTAGCTAATGTTTTCGTTTTTCATTCAACCATAAATTCAGTGAGTGATTTTAATTTGGCTTTAACTAGGGTCACCCCATCTTGGTTTTAATCAGAGATGCTTATAAAAATATATTATTCAATATACCACCTTATCCAAAGGTTTTGGATGCCACCTCTCTGCCCCACTTTTCTGGAGACCCCACGAGCATTGGGGCCACATATACTTGCCAACTTTTCAGTATATTATTTCAGGAGATGTATTCAGAACCTTCAAACCCTCTTTATTAAAACATTTAGGTGGACTAATAACCTCGTATAAGCTTTTATCTGTACATAAAAAGTTTCATAGTAAGTTTGTATTGTGCCACCTCTGTCTGTATGATTTACCAACTGAGTACCATTTTTATCTTAAATGTCTTGTCTTTTTAACATCAAGGCTCATGTTATATGGTCCAATGTTTGTGTGGATTAATCTCTGCTATACATCCTGTTTTTTAATGTTTAAACTCTGATTTTGTTGGAGGTACCAAAAATATAAGCTTAATTTTATTGATAATTTACATTTTTATTCCTGTGAGTGGTTGTGTAGACAGCGCCTCAATGCACTGCTTTTCCCATGGGCCTATAATACTGTTAAGACAGCCCTGGTCTCAGTTCCTAAGATCTTATCTCTCCAAGGATGACCCTAGATTTTTAGCTCTTTGATTCACTGCCCACCAAGACACTCGTATTTTTTTACTGTATCTAGATTATTTAAATGGAAGTTCTTCAAATAAGACTTTGACAGGTAAGGACGACATTTTTACACTGGTTTTAATGTTAGTGGATTTTATCACCCAATCTCTCTAATACTCCTTAGAGGAGGCTAGGTAGGGTTATTTAGTTCCAAGGTGGGCAATAGAGATGTCGCGAACCGTCCGCGAACTTCTCGCGAACGGTTCGCCGCGGTTCTCCACGAGCTGTTCGCGGTGAACTCCGGTCAGCTGTCACATCCCGGCCAATCTCCAGCAGACCCTCCCTCCCAGACCCTCCTACTTCCTGGACAGCATCCATGTTGTCGCAACATCTCTAGTGGGCAATGAGCTTGGGGCTTGAAATATGGTTTTATACTATTTGGGACTAGTACATCCTGTGCTCTTATTTAGTGTAAAGATGAGATAGGGGTTTCCTTTAGCATTTGGTAGTGGGCACTTTCTGTCCCTTGGGTATTAGTACCCAGAAAGTGAACAACCCCTGGTCTTGCTATTACTGCATTATTATTTAAATTCATTACCCTGCACCCCAATACGCAAGGAATAAAGAAGGGAGTATGGATAGCTCCCCAGGACCGTACCTGGATTAATATTACAACCCCAACAAAAGGACTGTAGGAAAAAGAAGTGGGGGCTTCACAGCCCTCTTAGTTTCTACTGGAGTCCATGGGACCTTGTGCCTTGTTTTGTAAGCACTTCCCTGAGATCTCCATACATTTATTTTACCTATAATCTCTACTCTCCTGAGTGGCACTGAAATGGTTCATTTGAACAACGGCACGCAAGCCCAGTCAGACTAACGGGGTAGGTTGATACATTATAGTAATAGTGGGACTTAATGCTCAATGCCGTTAGGTTTAAGAGTTCTACCTTCACCTAATAAATACCACTCCGTTAGTGCTAATAACTATTAAAATTACAGTTTGTAAGGGTTCACCATGGCAGAATATTTCATTTTCGTTCTCAAAACTTCCACCTTAGACACCAGTTTAATATTGTGTCTCCAGGGGTCATTATTTTCCCATTATTCATCCACCATTACTTGTCCTCTGTACCCACCACCCTTAACTATGTTCAGACATATTTACTTATTCTTTTTACTATTATTATTCTGTTTTATAAGCATCACTGATTAAACCCTTAAGAACCAATGATGTAATTATACTTTATAACAAACCAGTCTTTCAAAGTGTAATTTATCACTCATCTATCGAATGCAGGGCTGTATAAAGCTGTAAACACCAAATAAGCATGGTGTCATTGTGGATTAGACTGTGACCTTCAATGGGTTATAAATGTGACCCTTAAGTAGTTAAACCAGTAAAGTGTCAAAATGTCTTGGAACCAAATAGTGGTTCAGTGCCAAGTCTAGAGTCCCAAAATGTCACATCATACAATAACCTCCCATTGTCAAAGAAGATTGTATTTAATTTAATACCTTGATTAAATTAAGACTCTGACTCTTTCCTCTGACACATTGTTTTTTATTTAATTTCCCAGCACCCTGACACTTTCAGCCCTACATGGAATCAAGATCTGGCCCTTATTGGGTGACACTCCTAGGAGATAAATTCCACAAATACTGGTAAGTAGGATGGGAGATACTGAAAGGAAACTGGGAGATAAGGTTAAAAAAGAATGCTGGGTAGTGGGTTAAAAAAGGAATAAAACAGAGGACTGCGTTGAGTTAAAACAGTATATGAGTGTGAACTGGGGGGGGAGGATAAAAATAAAATGTAAAAAATGTGTGAAAAGTGGGAAACAGAGACAAGATAACAGAGATAAATAAAGGGAGAGAATGTTTTGAGAAATGACTGCTTGATAGCTGGTGAATACATTGGGGTAGTAGAGGTCAAAAAAGTGATTGTGAGGGTTATGTGGACAATGAGGTAAAGAAATAGATATGAAACACAGGTTATATAATGATTAAAAAAGATATGGGAAAATTTAAGTAAAGAAAAAGATGGAAAAAGCTGGGAAAATATTGATAAAGGAATGGGGAAATAGAAGTAAAGTAGAGTATGTCCGAAGACTGAATGAAATGGAATTGAAGAAAGAGATTGCGAAAGGCTCAATTAAATATAGGTAAATAAAGAAATGGGGAAAATGTAAAATCTATAAGAATGACGGGGAATTTAAATGCACGGTAGAAAGTTGCCGTTTTTCAGAAGTAGGGGAAAAATAAACTGCTGTAAGTTGGGGAGAGGCATAGGTAAAAGATTGGAAGTGATCTCAGTTTTGGCATGGGTTATAGAACATATTGCTTTATTCTGGGGTCTCTGCAAAGTCAACATAAAAAAACATGGGTGGGGAAAAAAATGGGATCATCAACCAGGTTACAAGTAAAACATGTTCCTGAACTGGTCTGCCAAGTTCTATATATCATTTCATTGGTTGGGATAGATTCCATTCCAGATGAAACTGTTTTCTTCCCAGCAAACCTTGCAGCTCCACGCATGCCTAATTGACTATAATTTCACGAATATTTTGGGCATATTGTATCTCTGCATGCATGGAATAAAATGCACTATTACTGGGACGGTTTTCATTCCCACTGTTTGTCCCTGAGGTGGTTTTACTATAGCCTCCCCGTTAAGCTGACAATGATTTTAATGACCAAATAACAAATATCAGTGTAATACACTACAATGAGAATTTAAAGTGAATTTCAAAATTAAGACCAGAATAGCCAAGCTGAAAGCGTAGTTGACTAAGAGATTTTTTAAGTTTGGCAGTTTCGACCTTCAATGGAAACTCACCTTGAATTATAACTTTAGTTAACAGCCCTGAATGACTTGTTATTAGTAGATCCTCTGGAGATGTTGTGTAAACTGCATTGAATGAGTATCTTTAAAAGTTGGCATTGGCAATATTTTGAGGGAATATAAATTATGTACACTAATCACACTTTTGCTGGGAATATGATCATTCTCCGTTACGTCATCGACCCTTTTTTTAGTTGAATGAAATTTTGTGATTCTTTAAGTTCAATAATTTTTTTTTTTTTTTGAAAACCTTCTGTTTGAAATCTCTCCTGTATTTCATTTCCTCTGGAATAAAACATTCCCCAATATCTGAGCATGTTCTGTATACATTTTATAGAAATATTTCCTGTTTTCGTGCTTACGTAGACATCTAAAATATTCTATCTGATTTCAGTACCAACAGTTTTAGTTACTTTGAATAAATATAAATCTTATAGCCCAAAGGGAATCACTCTGTCATTTTCAGAAGATTATCTTACTTTTCCTGAGGTTTTTATTCCTTTAGCAAGAGATGCATAAACAATTGCCCACGCCAGGAGTAGACAGAGAACTAACTGCCAGCGAATTTGCCCCGGAAACTCAATACCTGCAGATATCTTCAGCATATTGTACCTAGAAAATAAAATATCAGTAACATAAGTGACCAGAAGGGGGCAGCAGAGATTTGGAGGAGAAACCTTCACATGATGGTTTTATGTATAGTATTTTCAGGAGACTTACTTGAAATATTCTTCACTTCCACTGACAAATGTCTTGTTGACCGAAGTTGTTAGGTTCACCATAGTGAGGTTGGGGTAGGCCGCCATGCAGAAACTGCTATTTTTTATTTGCATTTTTGGCTGTTCCCCAACAAAGCAGGAATCTGTGGAGATGAAGACAAGAGTTTTGGGTGGATTTCAAAGTACTGAAAACTACATATTACTGCCTCAAAATGATAATTATACAAGTCAAAGTAAAAGTAGATACGGCATTAACCTGCTAGCTTCCAGGACAATTTAGTGTTTCATATGATGACTAGTTATATTAAGTCATTCCTCTGGAAGGAGGGGTGATTGGCCAAAGTGAGGAGAACAGACACACTGCCTTTAGATTTCAAAGTTAATTTTATTTTTGTTTTCTCGAAAATTGAATTTGAACATGTACCAGCTTGCAACTACTTGCGTGGTTGTAGATTGGTTGAATAAGAAGTGTTTCAGAAGTTCTGTGTAATATATACCTAGATATATACATGTACAAAAGGAGGGCGCTCACGGGTCTTTTTCAAATTAATTGTCACATTTTTATTCCAAGCAAGAAAACATGGTAAATGGGTCAACATTTCAATCCCACCACAAGGACTTTTTATCAAGACACTATACAAATGGAATAAACCAAATATATAGATAAGTAGCAGGTGAAAATGAGGGTTAACATACGCCATAATTGTATTACAAATGGGGGTATAATAAAGTGAAAGAAAAGCACAGCCAAGATAGGTACCTACGAGATCTGTGTACTCAAACAATCAATATAAAGAACAATGAAAAAGAAAAGAAAATGAATTGAAACCATCAGAAAAAATGTGAAAAATAAAAATGAACAAATATTATATCAAAGCATAAACTAACAATAGTACAAATGTCACAAAAAGTGACCCCACAAGAGTTAAAGAAACCATATAAAATCCCACCACAAGCAGAAGGGTTACTAAAGTAATGTAACACGTTGAAAACCGGTGTATGGGTGAAGCGCTATATACAAATGGATAATCAAAGTGGAGAAATAATGCCCCGTGATGAACACCAAAATATTTAAGAGATACCTTCTGTTTATATAATTCACAATAATCCTTTATAGGAATTTCCTAAAAGCATAAACAGAAAAATACAAACATAGTGCAAATCTGTAATAGTGAAAGGTGTGGTAGAAATATACAATGGTCCCACTCACACTTTTAGGAGCTAAAAGGGTATAGCTCAATTGAAGCGCTTTCAGAGTCCGTAGAGGCGACTCTTATCCCTTCTTTTAACTCTTCCTTTCTTGTATTCTGGAATGTATAAAGGGAAATACCTCTGGTGCAATAACGTAGGCTGAATGTGTGTATAATAGAAAGGGAAATAGGGTACTTACAAACCCAGAGCCATCCACATCGGCTCTGATCCAATAGCTTATGTGGATTAAGGACCACACTCCTTCTTTGTGAATAGCAGGAAAATGCCAATAGTGTATCTCCAAAATATAAACTTTATTGACTATATATACAATAAAAGTGCAATTAAATATAAAAAATTATATATACAAAAATCACTATAATGGCATAAAAAAGTCCAGTAAATCAAAAGTCTTATAGCTCACAAAATTCCCAGGACGCGTTTCGCCGTAAAGGCTTCCTCAGCTGGATGTGAAAAAGTCTGTTACCTTCTTGTACTGGTTCCTGCTATATGTACCCCTCCTGGGGTGAAAATGCTTACTTTTCGGCTTTGATTTTCGCGGGCTATCACCATGAAGATGGTGACGCCCAGCGTGTCAAGCCTCTTTCCTTTTCCATTTCCGGGTTTCGCCGTCGGAACGTCACTTCCGGTTTTTTCAATCGCAAGCCGTCGCGTCATATCCGTGCGTTCCAGCTTGCGTTCCAGCTGCATTCCGGCTTGCGGTTCAGCTTTCCTGTGTTGTATTACACCGGCCTCATTGCAGGCAGACAGGGGGAGAACACAACATTTGTACATGTTCATTAAATTCTACAATCTTCACCCAAATTCTTTGTGTATGATTACAGTCCAGAAATCCTATGTGTACATATATATATTTTTCATATGATACAAATATATAGCCTTTTATCTGTAATTTTAGTACGGAAAATCACAAGGTGAGGAAAATAGTCTCAAAATTTTGGCCTATTCTTCTTCAGGATCCAGTAGTGAAAACCTTCCTTCCAGAGAAACCTAACTTTGTACATAGGGGGGTCAGCAACCTCCGTACTGCTCTGACGTCTAGTTTCATAAAAGAAAAGAAAAATGTTAACCCATTTAATACAGAGAAAGGTTTTTATGGCTGTGGCCAATGTTTGGCATGTAGGAGAACTACGAATAAGAAAAGACATATAACAACATATACAAATAAAGAGGGAATAGAATATCAAATTAAAGATTTTATTACGTGTTACTCTAAGAATCTTATCTATTTAATTATATGCCCTTGTGGCCTAAAGTATATAGGGAAAACCACAAGACAACTACATACGAGAATAGAAGAGCATGGACGGAATATTACAAAGGGTTTTGAAAAACACAGTGTATCTTTACATTATAAAAATTATCATAATTGTGAAACTAAAGATACCATCTTTTTAGGGATAAAAAAAGTGGGAAAAGATTGGAGAGGAGGTAATTTTGATGTAAAAATGAGTAAATGTGAAATGGAGTGGATTTTTAAATTAGACACTTTGATTCCTAATGGATTAAATGCAGATTTCGAAATGTGTCATTTTTTGAAATAGGTTATTTTAAGTCTGCAGTCTCTTTTACAGTTCTATTTTAAATCTTTTTTGTTAATTTTTATATTTCCTTTTAGTGGATTTTCATCTTTTGTGTATATACACATTCCCTACTGTATATGGTTAAGTTTTATTTACTCTTAGAAGTCATTTCTCGCATAAGTGTTTTTAGTTTTCTTTTTTTATAAGTGACAAGGATAAAATATTTTTTTATTAAATATTTTTATGGATTTCTGGTGAAATATATATAGTTTTGGGGTTTTAAAATTATTTGATATTATGTACATAGTCACTATTTTTTTAATTATCTAAATAGTAAAGAGCAAAGATGGCTATATATTTGTATCATATGAAAAATATATATATGTACACATAGGATTTCTGGACTGTAATCATACACAAAGAATTTGGGTGAAGATTGTAGAATTTAATGAACATGTACAAATGTTGTGTTCTCCCCCTGTCTGCCTGCAATGAGGCCGGTGTAATACAACACAGGAAAGCTGAACCGCAAGCCGGAACGCAGCTGGAACGCAAGCTGGAATGCACGGATATGACGCGACGGCTTGCGATTGAAAAAACCGGAAGTGACGTTCCGACGGCGAAACCCGGAAATGGAAAAGGAAAGAGGCTTGACACGCTGGGCGTCACCATCTTCATGGTGATAGCCCGCGAAAATCAAAGCCGAAAAGTAAGCATTTTCACCCCAGGAGGGGTACATATAGCAGGAACCAGTACAAGAAGGTAACAGACTTTTTCACATCCAGCTGAGGAAGCCTTTACGGCGAAACGCGTCCTGGGAATTTTGTGAGCTATAAGACTTTTGATTTACTGGACTTTTTTATGCCATTATAGTGATTTTTGTATATATAATTTTTTATATTTAATTGCACTTTTATTGTATATATAGTCAATAAAGTTTATATTTTGGAGATACACTATTGGCATTTTCCTGCTATTCACAAAGAAGGAGTGTGGTCCTTAATCCACATAAGCTATTGGATCAGAGCCGATGTGGATGGCTCTGGGTTTGTAAGTACCCTATTTCCCTTTCTATTATACACACATTCAGCCTACGTTATTGCACCAGAGGTATTTCCCTTTATACATTCCAGAATACAAGAAAGGAAGAGTTAAAAGAAGGGATAAGAGTCGCCTCTACGGACTCTGAAAGCGCTTCAATTGAGCTATACCCTTTTAGCTCCTAAAAGTGTGAGTGGGACCATTGTATATTTCTACCACACCTTTCACTATTACAGATTTGCACTATGTTTGTATTTTTCTGTTTATGCTTTTAGGAAATTCCTATAAAGGATTATTGTGAATTATATAAACAGAAGGTATCTCTTAAATATTTTGGTGTTCATCACGGGGCATTATTTCTCCACTTTGATTATCCATTTGTATATAGCGCTTCACCCATACACCGGTTTTCACTGTATTCTTGAAAGATAAGATTGGGGTGTTACAGCAGCAGAAAATTAGTGGAATCTTTGATATTACTATAATATATTTTATCTATATATCAGCGCTGGTACTTTACCTGTTTTCTAATGTAACACGTTGTCTTGCAAGAATAACCTTTTTATACAAAGTATCATGTAATTAAATCCTATAATATTCAAAGTAACTTATTCATAGCCATACAGAACCACGGTGAATGGGCACATTGATCTACTATAACCTGAAAGGAAAGATTTCTTCCCATCAGAAAAATTAAATAAACAGCAAAATAAACAAAGTGTAAAATGCATATGACGAAAACATTAACTGACATGACACAGAATTATTTTCATGTAAACACCTTGATGCTATAGAATCCCAGGTATGGACCCAAAATGATTCTCTTTTAAGGAGCATCTTGGCCCTTTCAACCTTCCTAGAATAATTTTATGACATGTTCATTGCGTATAAGTCTCAAAGAAGCCAACATGTGGCCAGTCTCCAAAAACAGGCTTGCCACAGGTTTATCAGACTTCCCAACCTAAAAGGTAAAGCGAAATCAAAGACAGATGGCCAGAAATCCAACCCAATGCACATTGATAGTCTTTCTGACATAGATTAAGCCACACAGGCAGGACATTTTATATATCCTATGTCTAGTTGTACACTGATAAGGTCAGCAGGGCACCTATGACCAGAATTGTTTAAAAAAATTATATTTTATTATAAATGTAAAAAAAAAAGAAAAAAAAAATTCCTGTGTGCATTTAGGGGGATTTCTCAGGTTCGAATTCTATAAATGGAATTTGAGATGACAACTTACCCAACATCAGTCTGTTTTTGTCTTTACAATCAGGTGTGTTCCATGGATTATCACAGGATGCCCAGGGCAGGACACTAACCAGAGACGCAAACAAGTAAAATATTGTGTAACACATGATAATATTGTAATAAATGGCGATGAGCACAGAGATGATGAGCATGGCAATGCCACAACCTGCGGAGAAAAGAACGAAACAGAAAATATATCAAAGTTACACATGTCAGGAGCAATCACACATACACAGCCTAAACTTGTAATCAGGAATACCAGAAAATGTTTATACGTTTATGTTTATACGTTTTAATTCTATTTTATGGTTGTGTAAGAGAGAGAGAGAGAGACAGAGAGAGAGAGATGTAAAAATTAAATAGAAACAAGATGGGAGAAGTAAAATTACATTAATATATATTATACAGGGTTTATTCATTAAACACAGAATTCTAATGAATTGAAAACTGAATTGCAAACTTTGGACATAAAGTTCAACTTTAAAAAGAAATCAACATAGTTTTTTTCGTGACATGGCTTGGCTACGTTTTACAAATTCATATGTAAGGAAGGAAATGGACTGGCTGGTTATAGGATTTATATTCTTCTTATGTCAAATTACTATATTTTTGTAGCTTATTCTGCATTGGTTGGACAGGACTCGAAACAAATCCAATAAATCAATAGTGCAGATAAGAGAATACGCACTCGTAACATTTATTTATTGAGGCAACCGACTACGATCTATCATTTAAACATTTTGTTTGTAATGAAAATACATAAAATATTCATAACACAGTTTACTCTATATTAGATGTATCCAATTTGTACACTGTGGCCATCTCCTTCCTGGGAATGAAGCCTATGCAGTTCAAGAGCTAAGAAGGTTAAAAGTACAGCTAAGCCAACACAGCACAAAAAGTACAAAAATCCATCACACAATACAGAAAGTATAACTAACCCAACACTCAATGTGGCAAGTACAACAACTAACCCAACACACAATACAGAAAGTTTTCCAAAACTAGGTACAGAAAGGAAAATCTGCTCAACACACAAGAGAAGGTAAAACGAACCCATCACACAATACAGAAAGTACAACTAAACCCAACACGCACTACAAAAAGTGAAACAAACTGAACACTTAATATAGAAAGTACAATTAACTCATCACACAATATGAAATGTAGAAGCAACCTAACACAAAATACAGAATGTTCAACTGGCACATCACACAATACAGAAACTACAACTAATCCAACACACACTACAAACAGTGCAACTATGCCAACACTTAATATAGAAAGTGTAACTAACCCATCACACAATATAGAAAGTATAATTGACCCAACACTTGATACATGAAGTACAACTAACCCAACACACACTACAAAAATTACAATGGACTGAACACAAAATGCAGAAAGTACAGGGGGCAGGGCCTGAACATAATGGCGGCGAGTCGCATTCTGCTTGAGCTCACGCACAATCGTGATAATATAAGCCTACCAAAGCCTTATGGGAAGAAAAGCGACAATTTCAAGGGCCCACTCACTCCTCACAACTGAAGGCAAGCAGCAAAGAGTTTTACAACCCAAGTAAACCGGCGGGTACCGAGTGTGAAATCGAGGCCTAGTGCACATGGGGCGGTAGAGATGGCCACTGCCCCGCCTTGGAGGTGCTTTGAGGATAGCCCACCGACACTGCACTTGACATCCTGGAGAGGCTGGACAGGCACTTCAGGGCATTCTGGAAGAAGCTAGAGCATCGGCTGTCTCAACCTGCCCCACGTCAGCTAACTGACCTCCATAGGCAAAAACCGCCTCCATGCCCCCACCAAGCAACCAGATGCTTACCGGCCAGTAACACCCACCACTTGAGCGGGGTGCCTGGGACTGCAGAGGCAACGGCGACAGACCCAGTCAATCATAGCATACAATAGGAAGCAGCTCAACCCTGGGACAAGTGTAAGTCAGCCAAATCAAGACAGGAAGCAACAGGGTCACCGACTTCTGACACGGGGCCACCCAACTACATCTCTGATGCAACGCCCAAAGAAGCACATGAAACAGGGGGACTGTGTCCTGCCCATGAAGGGCATAGGCTGAACAACACGCTATATACTTGGTGGTGACATCTCATCCCATTATCTACCCGAATTACTGCAGCTAACTATCTCCCTTACGTACTGATAAGTCTGCACAACTCCCACTATCTATACACTCTTTCCTTTAAGACACCTATCTCTCCCGTTTTTCTAGCATGGGGGCCTCCTGGGGGTATCACTCAGACAAGTCAAGCATGCTACACCTGCTATTTCTATTAACACTTACACTAGTAAGACCACTCTCAGTGCATACAGCCTGTATACTATCTGTCATAATGATTGCCTTACTCTTCATGCAATGTTAATGTTTCTTTTCTCTAAAAAATGTGCTGCTATATATACACACTTGTTTTAATCCGACTTGTTTTTCCCATTGCAATCTTCTCAGTGTGTTAATTTTTTTTTGTTAATCTCAAGCACAACAAAAATAAAGAATTTTTAAAAAAATAATAAAAAAATACAGAAAGTACAACTAAGTCATCGCACAATGCAATACGAACAACAAAACCGATATCCAAGAACATAATTAGAACTAACCCGACACACAAATACAGAGAGTAATAGCACAAGTATCTAATACAGAGTGCAGAACAGAAAGAACATGTAAACAACTCCATGTACAGAATGAACACATAAACACTATAAAGTGCACATGTAACACACACACAGTAAGAGAGCGCACACATCACAGTACATAGTATGGAGAGATCTTATAACACAGCACTGAGAACATGCATAGCACCACACTTAGTACAACAGAACATGTGTATTTGAACATAGAATAGAAAGTAATTAAAACACAGTGCAAACTGACATACAATACAATCCTCATCCAGCCACCATTACCCTGTACCCGGTTACCTGCTAACCTACCACCATATTTATACTGTGCACAGTAACCCAACCCTGCTAGCCAGTAAAAAAGCAGTGTTACATAATTACTTCATATTGCTACTAATGTGTCTAGCATCATTACCCTGATATCCAGAGTTACCAAACACATTACCAAACACTCGTTCCCTGTTCCTTGGTACTGTTACAATGTGTTATTACCAAACACTGTTACCACACACACTCAGAAATGTAACCTTGCACTGCTGCTTAGTACTTATGTTACCCTATTTCCTGGCACTGTTACTTTCTCACTTTGCCCGATTGCCCAGCACTGTGTATAGGTCCCCTACATGTGTACCCAGTACCTCTCCAATAAACTTTGCACTATTTTCATACTTGAAAATTAGAGAAATTTAAATGATTGCTTCCTGGTTTACAAACACATTGTTACTCTTTTACCCTGATAAGATTACCTTGCAATCCAGGGATCGCTTTCCACACGGATATGGGACCCTGGCTTGCGAACTGCCCCAGGGACACTTCCAGTAAGAAGATAGGAACCCCAGCCAACGCTAACATCAGCAGATACGGGATCAGAAATGCACCTGGGGAGACACAGCAAGGAAAAACATGGGTTTTATTGCAAACTTCTCCAACAACGCATTCATGTGTTACTTTATAAAACAGCATTGCAAGCACTGGATGTATTGATTCATTTATTAGTATAAATTACTCAGTAATATATGAATGGATCATGTATGTGTGGGTTTCTGTATTTTTGTGCTTATGTCTGGAGGCATGTGTGTTCCTGTAAAAATGAAGATGTGAAAAATAAAGCTAATTACCACACTGATGTTCATGTCAGTCTCTCTGTCATTATTAGCTGGACTGTAAACTGCATTATCCCAATCTGCACAGAGTGGCTGTTCAATGTATGCACAATGATGCCAATTATTAACCAGGGATGGAGTATTTATGGAGGGCGCTGGTGTCGCGGTACTCAGAGAGGGAAACTGCACACCCGTGGCGCCCCTCTACTTATATTTATATGAGGCCTAGCATCATTTACAGTTCGGGGAATGCCAAGTCATCACTGTTAGCCCTTTCCCACACTTTTTGGGGTTGCATGACCCAATCATTGTCCACCTCAGTATTTAAATAAAATTTTAGCACCATAGTCTTTGCCCTGTCGTGGTTTCCCATTGGTTCCTCGTGTAGTGCTTTATGTATTACCTGATTTTTTGGTAGTCCGATTTTGTCTTGTTTACTCGTATTTCCTTATTTCTGGAATCCTGATCTTGACTAGTTTCACATTTATGCTTTCTCACTTTTATACGTTAAAGCAGCCATTCTAAGGTCCTATAATAAGTACTTTGTGTCTTCATATTCCTGGCTTATAATTGTACGTTGGGTAGTGCAGCCAGATATCAAGGAACATGTATAGATTGCAAAATCAATCTACAATGACCTCTGAAATACAGATGCCCAACATAGCCAAATAGCAGTATTTACTATAGTTTTGTTGTTGAAGGAAACAACCCACACCTCAAGCACTTCAGTCTGTAATTTTCATGAGTTTATAAAAGTGCAGATATCAATAGCACACCTTCCTAGCTATCACACATCTATCTTCTGTCCTTCTCAATGAGCTGTAGCTGTGAAATCGACTGACCAACCACTTCTCCTATTAATATACAAAATCATATTGTGCCTGTATCTTACCTCCGCCATTTTTAAAGGCCAGGTAGGGGAATCGCCAGACGTTTCCCAGACCCACAGCATAGCCCACCATAGACAGGATGAAATCCAGTTTACTTGACCAGTTACCTCGAGCTTTGTTTTCATCTCCTTCATCCTCCTAAAAAAAAAAAAGATAGATAATTAATTTCGATTTTAAAAAATGGTTTGCAAAATAGCTGTTTTTTTTTTTGTTAAAATCATTATTAAATGCAATCTCTTGGTAATGTTAATATTTGTGGCTGCAAAGACTGAGACTTATAAACAGCAATAATAAAAAATATTAATAATATGAAGAACATACAAAGAAAAAACTTACACGAAATATGTGGTGCTAGGCAAATAGTAACCCAGTGCAGCCTAAAACACACTTAAACTGTATTGTCACCTAGTACACTCGGCAAAATTGCTAAATCCCAAACAAAAGTGTAAAGCACACACATTAATTAAAATGTATTACCTTTGTCATATATGATGGTACTTTTTTCTCAATGTAATCATAAAATAACCCTATATTGCATGAATATAAGAAAGAAGAACCATTGTGTAATCTGTTAACATAGAAATTACAATGATAGAGTAAAATAGAGCACTCACAATTTTCAGAGCCCTTTAAAGATTGGCTCTCAACAGTAATAGCATTTCATCCACCACTGGGATAGGTGGAAATTGTTGGAAAATCCTTGCTGGAACAGTGGAGTATCCAAAAGAAGCAGGAACCAAGTGGTAATGATAATAAAGACATGTATATTCCATATATATATTAAAATAAATTAAAATAGAATAAAACAATATAAAATAAACACAACGTGTTTCAATCTGATATAGGTCTGGCACTTGAAGAAGACTTATATTGGGTCGAAACGTGTTGTGTGTATTTTATATCGTTTTTTAAAAATATATATATATGGAACAAAAGTGTGTATCATCATTACCATTTAGTTCCTGTTTCTTTTGGATAGTCCATTGTTCCAGCAATTTTCAGCTATCCCAGTGGTGGATGAAATGCTATTAGAGTTTAGAGCCAATCTTTAAAGGGCTCTGAAAATTGTGAGTGTTCCATTTTATTCTATCATTGTTTTTTCTATGTTAAATGATTACACTATGGTTCTTCTTACTTATATTAATGCTATTTAGGGTTCTTTTATGATTACATTGAAAAAAAGACCCTTCATATATTAAAAAGGTAATACATTTGAATAATTGTATGTGCTTTCACACCTTTATGCCTTTGGAATTAGCATGGGTATGTAATCCTATAGTAAAAGTAATTGATAGTTTTTAATTTTAAAAATATAGATTGTATTATCTATAACCAAAATAAAGTAGACAATATAAACACTCCTGTAAGAAAAATAAATATATTTGTCAACAGTATAAAAAACAACCCTTAAACTGTACATTCCAGGAATCAACTTCCAAGGAATACCAGTTAGAAATGTAGTGGTTTACAGAGCTATGAAGTAATATTTGGAGCTCTGCTTTAAAGCACACAGTGCTGAATAGTATAATGTGTGCTGAACATACACTACTACACTGCTGTACAATATAGTATCTATTACAATGTGTAGATACCCCACTGAGCATTCCAGAAATTAATAGAGTACGAAGTACTTTATTGTACAGTTTAGTGTGCAGCATAATACAGATAGAATTGCCATAGGAAATAATATAGTATATCTGCATGTCTCTATCTATCATTATAATAAAAACTAAGACACAGTATTGATAGATACTGATGCACAGTATTAACATATACTTCAGAGCATTAATAGACTTACACAGTATTAATAAATACGAAGACATAGCATTAATGTATAATAAAACATAAATACATACTAAACCACAAAATGAACGTATTCTAAGACACAGCATTAATACATACTAAGAATCAGTAATAAAACATAGAAAGACATATTATTGATATATACTAAAATATATTATTATAACATACTCAGACACAATATTAAAAAATGGAAAAATGGAAATTCTAAGAAATTGCATTAATATGTGTTAAGACACAGTATTGATCCATACTAAACACTATCAATACATACTAAAACATATTAAGACACAGTATTGGCCCATACTAAACACACTATTATTACACACTAAAATAACAAGACACAGTATTGATCCATACTAAACATACTATTATTACACACTAAAATATAATAAGACACAGTATTGAGGCATACTAAACACTATTAATACATACTAAAACATATTAAGGCACAGTATTGGCCCATACTAAACACACTATTATTACACACTAAAATATAATAAGACACAGTATTGATGCATACTAAACATACTATTATTACACACTAAAATATAATAAGACACAGTATTGAGGCATACTAAACACTATTAATACATACTAAAACATATTAGGACACAGTATTGATCCATACTAAACACACTATTATTACACACTAAAATATAATAAGACACAGTATTGATGCATACTAAACACTATTATTACATACTAAAATATACTAAGACACAGTATTGATCCATACTAAACACACTATTATTACATACTAAAATATACTAAGAAACAGTATTGATCCATACTAAACACACTATTATTACATACTAAAATGTAATAAGACACAGTATTGATGCATACTAAACACTATTACTAAATACTAAAATATACTACGACATAGTATTGATGCATACTAAACACTATTATTACATCTAAAATATACTAAGACACAGTATTGATGCATACCAAACACTATTAATACATACTAAAACATGCTAAGACATAGTATTGATACATACTAAACACAATATTAATACATAAAAAGACTTAGTATGGATTCATACTAAACACAGCATTGCAACATGTATACTCTGTGTTAAGGTATATTAATGCTAGATATTTTGTCTTAGTATTCCTATGAATCTCTAACATACTTAGAGTGAGACACATTATGAATACACATTGAGACACAGTATTAACATGCTAATGCATATCAAGACATAGCATTGGCATTATTATCAAGAAATACCAAGACATAGCATTGAAACATACTGTGCAATACCATTACAAATTAAGTCCTAGCATCAATAGTCACTGAGACATAGCATTAATACACACTGAAACATAGCATTAATGCTTATTGAGTCATAGTATAAATGCACTGAGCATTATCACTAAGACATAATATTAAAACACACCGAGACATAGCATTAATACTCACTGAGATATATAATCGTTACCACTTGGACATAGCATTATTACACAGTGAGACATAGCATTATTACTCACTGAAACATATCATCATTACCCACTGGGACAAAGCATTATTGCACAGCACGACATAACATTAATACATCCTGAGACCTAATATCAATACACTAAGTATTACTACACACTAAGACATAGCATTATTACACACTGAAACATAGCATTATTACACACAGAAACACAGCATTGGTACTCAATGAGTAATAGCATTATTAAACACTAAGACATAGCATTATTACACAGTGGGACATAGCATTAATACTCACTGAGACATAACTTTAATACACAATGAGACATAGCATTAATACTCACTGAGACATAACATTATTACACACTGAGACATAGCATTAACACTCACTGAGACATATCAATTACACACTGAGACATATCATTAATACACACTGATACTTAGCATTAATACTCACTGAGACATAGCATTATTACACACTGAGACATAACATTACTACTCACTGAGATATACCATTAATACTCACTGAGACATAGCAATAATACTCACTGAGACATAGCATTATTACACACGTAGACATAGCATTAATACTCACACTGAGACATTTCAATTACACACTGAGACATACCATTAATACTCACTGAGTAATAGCATTATGACACACTGAGACATACCATTAATACTCACTAAGACATACCATTAATACTCACTGAGGCATGGCATCAATACTCACTGGGAAATAGCATTTCTACACACCGAGACATAGCATTAATACACACTTAGACATACCATTAATACTCACTAAGACATAGCATTAATACACTCTGAGATATAGCATTAATACTCACTGAGACATAGCATTAATGCACACTGAGAAATAGCAGTAATACTCACTGAGACATAGAATTACTACACACTGAGACATACCATTATAACTCACTGAAACATGGCATCAATACTTACTGGGACATAGCATTGCTACATACTGAGACATACCAGTAATACTCAGTGAGACATAGCATTAATACTCACTGAGACATAGCATTACTAAATACTGAGACATGCCATTAATACTCACTGAGACATACCATTTTTACACACTGAGACATACCATTAATACTCATTGAGACATAGCATTAATACTCACTGAGACATAGGAATTATTACACACTGAGACATGCAATTACTACCCACTGAGACATAGCACTAATACTCACTGAGACATAGCATTAATACACACTGAAATATACCATTAATACTCACTGAGACATGGCATTAATACTCACTGAGTCATAGCATTATTACACACTGAGACATACCATTAATACTCGCTGAGACATAGCATTATTACACACTAAGACATAGCATTCATACTCACTGAGATATAACATTAATACTCACTGAGGCATAGCATTACTATGCACTGAGACATAGCATTAATAACCACTGAGATATAACATTAATACTCAGTGAGACATAGCATTATTACACACTGAGACATACCATTAATACTCGCTGAAACATAGCATTATTACACACTGAGACATAGCATTAATACTCACTGAGATATAACATTAATACTCACTGAGACATAGCATTACTACGCACTGAGGCATAGCATTAATACTCACTGAGATATAACATTAATACTCACTGAGACATAGCATTATTACACAGAGACATACCATTAATACACACTGAGACACAGCATTAATATGCACTGCGACATAGCATTATTACACACTGAGACATACCATTAATACTCACTGAAACATATCATTATTACACACTGAGCCATAGCATTAATACTCATTGAGATATAACATTAATACTCACTAAGACATACCATTAATACTCACTGAGGCATGGCATCAATACTCACTGGGAAATAGCATTTCTACACACCGAGACATAGCATTAATACACACTTAGACATACCATTAATACTCACTAAGACATAGCATTAATACACTCTGAGATATAGCATTAATACTCACTGAGACATAGCATTAATGCACACTGAGAAATAGCAGTAATACTCACTGAGACATAGAATTACTACACACTGAGACATACCATTATAACTCACTGAAACATGGCATCAATACTTACTGGGACATAGCATTGCTACATACTGAGACATACCAGTAATACTCAGTGAGACATAGCATTAATACTCACTGAGACATAGCATTACTAAATACTGAGACATGCCATTAATACTCACTGAGACATACCATTTTTACACACTGAGACATACCATTAATACTCATTGAGACATAGCATTAATACTCACTGAGACATAGGAATTATTACACACTGAGACATGCAATTACTACCCACTGAGACATAGCACTAATACTCACTGAGACATAGTATTAATACACACTGAAATATACCATTAATACTCACTGAGACATGGCATTAATACTCACTGAGTCATAGCATTATTACACACTGAGACATACCATTAATACTCGCTGAGACATAGCATTATTACACACTAAGACATAGCATTCATACTCACTGAGATATAACATTAATACTCACTGAGGCATAGCATTACTATGCACTGAGACATAGCATTAATAACCACTGAGATATAACATTAATACTCAGTGAGACATAGCATTATTACACACTGAGACATACCATTAATACTCGCTGAAACATAGCATTATTACACACTGAGACATAGCATTAATACTCACTGAGATATAACATTAATACTCACTGAGACATAGCATTACTACGCACTGAGGCATAGCATTAATACTCACTGAGATATAACATTAATACTCACTGAGACATAGCATTATTACACAGAGACATACCATTAATACACACTGAGACACAGCATTAATATGCACTGCGACATAGCATTATTACACACTGAGACATACCATTAATACTCACTGAAACATATCATTATTACACACTGAGCCATAGCATTAATACTCATTGAGATATAACATTAATACTCACTGAGACATAGCATTACTATGCACTGAGGCATAGCATTAATATTCACTGAGATATAACATTAATACTCACTGAGACATAGCATTAATACTCACTGAGATATAACATTAATAGACACTGAGACATAGCATTATTACACACTGAGACATAGCATTAATACTCACTGAGATATAACATTAATACTCACTGAGACATAGCATTACTACGCACAGAGGCATAGCATTAATACCCACTGAGATATAACATTAATATTCACTGAGACATAGCATGATACACACTGAGACATAACATTATTACACACTGAGGCATACCATTAATACACACTGAGACATAGCATTAATACACACTGAGACATGGCATTACTACTCACTGAGATACAACATGAATACACACTGAGACATAGCATTGTAACACACTGAGACATAGTATTAATACTCACTGAGATATAACATTAATACTCACTGAGACATAGCATTGTAACACACTGAGACATACCATTAATACTCGCTGAAACATAGCATTATTACACACTGCGACATAGCATTAATACACACTGAGACATAGCATTACTACTCACTGAGACATAGCATTATACACACTGAGACATAGTATTAATACTCACTGACACATAGCATTATACACACTGAGACATAGCATTAATACTCACTGAGACATAGTATTACTACGCACTGAGACATAACATTAATACTCACTGAGACATAGTATTACTACGCACTGAGACATAACATTAATACTCACTGAGACACATACACACTGAGGCATAGCATCAATACACACTGAGATATGCCATTATTACTCACTGATAATCCACAGAGAAAAAGGAAAACACACTCTTATATAAAGACCTAGGTGCTCCAGACCTGGAGCTGGCAAACCCCATTACAGAAAGTCAACAAATAAATATGGTCTAGGCCCTCCAGGTCTACCATCAAGAAGTTTTATTGGAACAAGAAATGCAAGGTTTCTGCCTGCACAGAGGCCTTTATCAAGCTTTCTATTATTACTCACTGAGACATAGCATCAATACACACTGAGTCATATCAATACAATTCACTAAGCAAAAGCATAATATAGACATATAATTAAAGTTCATTAATACACGCTGAGACATAGCATCACTACACATTAAGACATAGCATTAATACTCACTGAGTCATAACATTAATACTCACTGAAACATAGCATTAACATACATTGAAACATGGCAATAGTACACACTGAGATGTGGTAATACTCAGTAGTAATAGCATCAATACCACAGCATTATTACCATAGCAATAATAGGCACTGAGACATACCATTAATCCACACAAAGATACAGAATTAATACACACTGAGACATAGCATTAATATACAGTAATATATATCATTAATGCATACTGAGGTATAGCATTAATATATATAAAGACACAGCATTAATGTATACTCAGTATTAATATAAACTGACACAGCATTGAGACATACTGGCACACAGCATTAAACACACACTAGGAAACAGCATTAATACACCCAGAGACATACTAATAATATGTAACAAGATATAATATTTAAGACATTATTAATTGGTATTAAAACATAGAATTCATGCATATTAATTCCCAGAATTAATACATACTTGGACAGGGTACTAATAGTTATTAAGACACAAGAATGTATTCAATAAAAAACAAATTTGAAACACTAAATGCAAAAAATATCCAACACAATAATTCTCTAACTCATCTAGCCAATACTAACCCAATGATTATTATAAATTGTTACGATTCCGCAACTGCTTTAATTATACTTAGACACATATTTAAAATGTATGAAGATGCCGTATTTAATCTTATTTATTAATTAGCTCTAAGAAATAATGTTAATACGTATTAAGATGCAGCATTAAGAATAAAATAAAAAAGTACTATAAGTACTAAAACATACCAATAGAGATCTTCACAAAATATTGAAATTCAGTGTTGTTACTTAGTATTACAATTAATTATTTTATATATATTACTAAGATGCAACATTAAAATTTTAAAATTAAAAAATCATGAATGATAGCATACATTTTTACTAAGATATATATTTTTAAAAATATTTAGATGCAGTGTTAATATTCACTAAATCTATCTATAAGAAATAAGATAATTCTGAGACACAGCAATATGAATTCAAGAGCTGCCGTAAAATTAGTATAAATACTTAGACATGTCTCTTTTTTTGTGTGAATTTTTATGATGCAGGATTAATACTTATATATTAAAATGTAATATGATGCAACAAAAGTAGTATTAATACTTACAAAGACACGACTTTAAGAATGATTAGGATGCAGGAGTAATACTTACTAAAGAATATTAAGATTAAACTCCAGCCAGTTCACAGTTTAAAAACTATATGTGCATTAGTAAGCATTAATACTTGGTAAGAATAAGGCATACAATACGTTGCATTAGTAATAGTATTACTAGTAATGCTTACTAACACACATATGTTTTTTCACTAAACTGGTGACTGGCTGGAATTCTTGGTCAGTGTAAAGTGAATTTCATGTATTATGTCCAATTTCTCTTTGTGGCCACAATTTTAAAATTCATTTTAGATTTCCAGCAATTCAAACGTGAAAAACCCTGATAGTTTAATCAATAAGTAAGGTACTGTAATTGTAGTATTATTATTTACAGACACAGCGTCAGTAGTTGCTATGATGCAGCAATAGAATGTTTAAGCATTATTAAGACCAACTTACCCCATCGAGGCTGCCAGGGTAAACAGAGGTGTTGCCATCTGTGCCTAGTACCACAGTACTCTGTGTCATGGGCACCCAACCCCCCTGGGCATTATTGTGCTCCAGAGAAGTCTTTCTGAAGCTCTGGTGAAGCTCCCCTTCTGCACTCTGGAGGGGTACAATGCGGCATTGCACAGCATTACTCTGCCCATTTCGATCTGCCTGTGAGTCATTCTTCAGGGGAAAACTCTCTACAGAATCTTTCCTTTGAGCAAAATTGCTGTGAATTGGGGTGCTAGACTTGCAGGACCCCCCAGTTTTAGATCTCTCCAGGGGGCTAACCTTGGGGTCTTCAGAAGGGAACCCCTTGCAGTCACTGGAAGCAGATTGGGACAGTTTGGCGAGTTTTGAAGATGCTTGTAGAGGGATATCATTATCAGCACTTTGCTTCGTGATTCCTGCAGCCCCAATGGGCCCCGGGGCAGCACCATCTGGACTGTTCACTGTCTTCTTCCCTAAATCCATTGGATTTGCCAAATCCTGTCAAAAACAAAGAATGGGTTAACACAGAATAAACATGTGTTTCTCTACCTGTGCAATGCTTAATATAGAGAGCATGTTAGTTTACCTGTAATATGCTTAATATACAGAGAGCACATTCTCCTCTACACTGACCCAGGCTGGCTGTAATAAATATTAGCCTGGGATTACATTTCACATGGCAGCTGGGGGGGCTCCATTCTCCCTTCTCTATTGTAGAAAGATTCCTTAATTTTCCGCCCCATTTACCTTGTGTCACTCAGTATAGCGCATTCCCTGTTCCACAGACAAGCTCTGGATGCAGAGGGTAAAACAAAGCGCTTTCCAATATTCCCCCAAATCATCCATAATCCAGATTGAAGATTTCATTTAATTAAACAAAGGTAGGATTATATGTACCAGTATATAACATGCCAGCGATTTCCAATTTTCCCTGACCAGCACTTAAAATATATGGATATAGGCACAAATACAAAGGTATATACATACAAGCACACACACACACACACACACACACAAAAGCATTAGTACATAGAAGCACACATATACATTCATAAACACACATACACACATATATAGATCAACATACATACATTGAACATTCATTGATTTATTAATAAATGAATATGACACAAATATATACTATATATTTTAGTCCATCATACTGATTCAGGTTTAGCACTGGATGGACAGCTGCTGATGTTACTGTAACAGCCTGTCTTACTGATTGAGGTTCAGCACTGGATGGACAGTTCCCAGTGTTACTGTGATAGTCATACTGATTGAGGTTCAGCACTTTATGGACAGCTTCTGGTGTTACTGGGATAGTCCATCAAACTGACTCAGGTTCAGCACTGGATGGACAGCTTCTGGTGTTACTGGGATAGCCCATCAAACTGACTCAGGTTCAGCACTGGATGGACAGCTCCTGGTGTCTCTGGGATAGTCCATCAAACTGACTCAGGTTCAGCACTGGATGGACAGTTTCTGGTGTTACTGGGATTCCATCATACTGATTCAGGTTCAGCCATGGACAGCTCCCATTGCGACTGTGATAGTCTGTGTTACTTGTTTGGGTTCAGCACTGGATGGACAGTTCCCAGTGTTGCTTTCATAGTCTATTTAACTGGTTTGGGTTCAGCACTGGACAACACCCGATGTTACTGTTATAGGCTATCTTACTGATTCAAGTTCAGTACTGGACAGCTACTAGAGATCATCTGTGTTACTGATTCGGGTCCGGCACTGGACAGCTACTAGTGTTACTGTGATAATCTATATTAATGATTCAGGTTCAGCACTAGACAGCTATTACTGTTACTGTGATAATCTGTTTTACTGATTCGGGTCCGGCACTGGACAGCTCCCGGTGTTACTGTGATAATCTGTGTTACTGATTCAGGTTCAGCACTGGACAGCTCCCAATCTTACTGTGATAATATGTGTTACTGATTTGGGTTCAGCACTGGACAGCATCAGTGTTGCTGTGATAATCCGTGTTACTAATTTAGGTTCAGGTTCAGCACTGGACAGCTCCCAATTTTACTGTGATAATATGTGTTACTGATTCAGGTTCAGCACTGGACAGCTCCCAATTTTACTGTGATAATATGTGTTACTGATTCAGGTTCAGCACTGGACAGCTCCCAGTCTTACTGTGATAATATGTGTTACTGATTTGGGTTCAGCACTGGACAGCATCTAGTGTTGCTGTGAAAATCTGTGTTACTAATTTAGGTTCAGGTTCAACACTGGACAGCTCCTAGTGTTACTATGATGACATTTCCTCTGTTACTGTTTTAAAGTCAGTACTGTTATTCTGATGAATAGTTTCTACTAAACCCGTTTAAACTCTCTGCACAATTCTAAGATAATTAGTGTTCAGTATTAGAAAGGTTGTTACTTTGTTACTGTCTTCATTGCAGCATTGGACAGCTCTTGGTATGATACTATAAACGTTACATTGTACATTTAACTGTTACCATATTGTGTCTGTATCTGTTTCAGCTCCTGTTAATACTGTGTCCCTGCTGCTTTAGCTCTCTTTATAAAGTTTTATACAGTTATTGCATAATACTGTGATAGTCATTGCATAATACTGAAATGGTTATTGTCTAATACTGCGTTAGATATAGTATAATACTGTGATAGTTGCTGTAAAACACTGAGATCATTAATATATAATAATGTGTTAGTTTTTCTATAATACTGTATTAGTTACTTAATAATACTGAGATCTTTAATATATAATACTGTGTTAGTTATTATATAATACTATGTTAGTTATTCTATAATACTATGTTAGTTATTCTATAATACTGTGTTAGTTATTCTATAATACGGTGATAGTAATTGTGTAATACTGAGATCTTTAATATATATTAATGTGTTAGTTATTCTATAATACTGGGATAGTTAATGTTTAATACTTAGATCTTTAATATATAATACTGTGTTAGTTATTCTATAATACTTTGATAATCAATGTATAATACTAAGATCATTAATATATAATAATGTGTTCGTTATTCTACAATACTGTGTTAGTGATTCTATAATACTATGTTAGTTATTATATAATACTGTGATAGTTAATGTTTAATACTGAGATCTTTAATACATTAGTTAGTTATTCTATATCACTGTGATAGTTGATGTAAAATACTGAGATCTGTAATATATAATACTGTGTTAGTTATTCTATAATATTCTGATAGTCCGTGTATAATACTGAGATCTTTACTATATAATACTGTTAGTTATAATATAATACTGTGATACTTAATGTATAATGATGAGATCTGTATATAATACTGTGATAATTATTCTACAATATTCTGATAGTCAATGTATAATACTGAGATCATTATTATATAATACTGTGTTAGTTCTTATATAATAATGTAATAGTTAATGTATAATGATGAGATCTGTAATATGTAATACTGTGTTAGTTATATAATACTGTAATAGATAATGTATAATGATGACATCTGTAATATATAATACTGTGTCAGTTACTGTATCATACTGTGTTATTTATTGTATAATACAGTTAGTTATTGCATAATACTGTGTCAATTACTGTTTAATACAGAGATAATTATTATTTAAAACTGTTATATATTGTATAATACTGTGGCCATTGTTGTCTAATACTATGTTACTTATTGTATAATACTGTGATAGTTATGGTATAATAATGTCTTAGTTTTGTATAACACCGTGATGATTATTGTATAATACTAAGATACTTAACCTAATACTAAAGTTATAAAGTTACTATTTCAGCTTCTCCAGTTAATAATAATAATAATAATAATAATAATAATAATAATAAATGACTGAAAAAAAACCAATAACAATAATAATAGAGTATAATAACACACGGTATATGTGCTCACAACTCAATCAGAGAGGAAATTATGTCCACAGCAATGTACAAAAACCAGACAAGAGCAAGTTCCTGGGACTGACAAAATAATCCTCAATTCTATGTGCAGAAATAAAGTGTCCTGTTCCGGAATTCTGTCCCAGAGCTAGTAATGCTACCTTTATTACTCTCTAATGCCAACTTCCAGGATATCAGGGTGATTTTGCTACTGTTTAATTTTACTCCTGGATATTCTCCTGTTTAATGCTATTATAATTAGTCCTTTGCTCAGCATTTTACTGCAAAAATAAACTAAGTCTGTCAGGTTATTGTCCAGAATTCAAAACTCGTTTCTAATTTAAGGCCAAAATTGCTGATTTAGACAATTACTCCAAGTCAGCTATGTTTCGAGTCTCAGCTCCCTGTATAACACTATGACAGTCTATATAAAGGTGTATCTCCCTGTATAACACTATGACAATCTATATAAAGGTGTATGTCCCTGTATAACACTATGACAGTCTATATAAATGGTTATCTCTCTTTATAACACCATGATATTCTGTATAACGTTAATCTCTATATATAACACTGTGACAGTCTATGTAAAGGTTTATCTCTCTGTAAAACACTATGATAGTCTGTGTAACTGTGAATCTCTCTGTATAACACTATGATAGTCTATATAAAGGGTTATCTCTCTGTATAACACTATGATAGTCTATATAAAGGGTTATCTCTCTGTATAACACTATGATAGTCTATATAAAGGGTTATCTCTCTGTATAACACTGTGATAGTCCGTGTAACTGTGTATCTCTCTATAACACTGTGATAGTCTATATTCCAGTTTATATCCCTGTATAACACTGTGATAGTCTATATAAAGGGTTATCTCTCTATATAACACCATGATAGTCTGTGTAACTGTGTATCTCTCTATAACGCTATGATAGTCTATATTTCAGCTTATCTCTCTGTATAACACTATGACAGTCTATATAAAGAATTATCTCTCTGTATAACACTGTGATGGTTTATATAACTGTTTATTTATCTGTATAACACTATGACAGTCTATATAAATGTCTGTGTCTCTATATAACACTATGATAGTTTATATAACTGTTTGTCTCTGTATAACACTATGATAGTCTATGTAACTGTTTATCTCTGTATAACACTATGATAGTCTATATAAATGATTGTCTCTCTATATAACACTATGATAGTCAATATAAATGTTTGTCTCTCTATATAACACTATGATAGTCTATATAAATGATTGTCTCTCTATATAACACTATGATAGTCAATATAAATGTTTGTCTCTCTATATAACACTATGATAGTCTATATAACGTTATCTCTCTGTATAACACTATGATCATCTACATAAAGGGTTATCTCTCTATAACACTATGATAGTCTATATAACTGTTTATTTATCTGTATAACACTATGATAGTTTATTTAACTGTTTATCTCTTTGTATAACACTATGATAGTCTATATAAAGGTGTATCTCCCTGTATAACACTATGATATTCTATATAACTGTTTATCTCTCTTTTTAACACTGTGATATTCTATATAATGGTAATCTCTGTATAACACTATGCTAGTCTATATAACTGTTTATCTCTCTGTATAACACAATAATAAATACTGTACCAGTAATATAATGCCTAGTAATATTATACCAGGAGATTAAACAGTGTTAATAATTCTACAAATAAAATCAATGTACAGGAAGGCAGTGTGTACCCCTATCCCCCCAGAGGTGTATAAAATTGGTAAATTGCAGCACTCACCATAGTCCTGTTCTGTCCTGGGTGCCTGTGGAGGGTCCACTCACTGGCTATAGACTGGAGCAGACTGTTACAGCACAGAACCTTCTATATGGAGCTAGAGCAGAGAGAGTTTGCGTCAGTGCAGAGGAAGGTGCCCTTCGTTTGACATTTTCTTGATAATAAGAGTTTGATAAATCATTAGTCCAGGATTCAGATTTTAAAGGGGCAGTGTCAGCTCCAAGTCACAGCCTGTCCCCCAGCTTGCATTGACAATGTTTATTATGTGTGACTCACAAAGGAAGCTCAGTGCACTTAGTCAGAGCTGATCTGCCCCCAATTCTTGTTAGTATTTTGGGGGGAGCATCCAAGCACCCCATTTCTACACCTTAACCCAGCCTGAATCCATGACAGATCTTCCCTCCTGCTCTCCCTGTGTCCTTTAATTTAATTGGCTCTGCAGTCACAAGTGCCTCCTAAATTTGCAATGGAGGTGGTGCAGACCCCCATCCAGAATTTACATCAATATTTCTTCTCCCCCAGAATACCTTTCACACCTTTCAGTGGCTGTTTTCAAATGGTTTTGTTTTTATTTATTTGTTTGTAAAAAAAAAAAAAAAATAGATTGTAACGTCTGTTTTTATAAATGTGTTTCTTTTCATTTATTTATTTATTTGTATTTTTTAGTAAGGTATTCAGTAAGCATTTTTCTGATATATATTTACTTTTTACCTCATTTTAAAACTAGCTATTTCTTCACATCAAGAAATCAAAACAAACAAAAAAAAAAAAACGAAACAGCTTGTTATATAGTGGTTTATTAAATAATGATATAATTGACATCCATTTTCATCCCAAAATTCGTATTTTTTCTGCATTACCTTAATACTTACGAGCAAATAAACCAAACGATCGTATCTACTGTATTTGTTTTGTATTGTATATAACACATATTACACCATGTTACTGTTTTGTCACAGCTTTTGCAATCATTTCCTTGAAAAAGCTTCAGAGTGATGAGATTTGCATTCAGAATTTCGCTAGATAAATTCAGTGCTGAAAATCCTGTAAATGATGGAAAATATGTTAAATGTAAATTAATTAAATTATAAAATAATGGAGTTTCATTCTCCCTTCTCCCCCCCTTCCCCCCCACCCCCCTTACCCTTCATCCCTCTCACCCCTCTCATCCTGAATAGTTTCGATTAGAACAGACAGAATCATTATTGAATAACATTTAATTGAAATAAAAACAACAAACACGCACATATATACTATATTTTTATTTTATTTTAAATGTAATATACATTGAATATTATTATATAGCAGTGAAACATTGTATTTGTGAGTATACAGTTGCTACAAACACACAATGTGCGGTATAACTAACTCTGAGTTTCCTGCATTGCCAAAAATTAATTGATGAATTATTTTGTGTGAATGTGTAATGTTTGGTAGAAAATCCAGCTATGTGAATTAAATGGTTAATATCGCTTTTTTGATCAAATACAATTTTTTTGATCCTATTAAAATATATTCGTTGTTCCTATATCATCCTATTATCCCAAAGTTTAATAACCATGCCATAATGACACACGTGAAACGGTATAGGTTTATCTGTACTTGTGGACGACAATGAATGGGTTAATATCTATTTATTTATTTATTCATTTAGATAGATTTTCAATTTTTACTGGGAGCTTACTTGTCCTGCATTCATTATATTTAATTCTATGATTTCTAAAGTAGTACTGTTACCCCCTTATTACAGTTTAAAGTATCTCTATTTAACCCTTTAGGGGAGAATAAAGCTGTGATCTGATTGGTCAGTCTTTTTAACCCTTCAAATGCTGGAATGAACTCGCAGCCCTGCAATTAGGGACTAGATATTGCACGACGTGTGTCTTAAGGGTCGATCCAATAAAATGTAAATTGGGTAAATTTAAAAGAGAATTGTAAAAATTAGGCAGAATAACTGATTCGGGGGAAAAAAAATCTCTAATTCAGCTCTGGTCGTATTTGGGGTATATTCGCCTAAATTTGACAATTCCGTTTCCAATTCTCTGTCTAGTGAATAAACTCTGCTGTGCCAGGGTGTGATGCAAATTTATTGTCTGTTATTTTCTTAGTTGTGTGAATTTTGGTTTCATTTTGTGTTTATTAAGTTATTACTTATTTTGGTAATGGTTTAATTTTGTGCTTCTCAGTTTTTTTGTAAAACCGATTGCAGACCTTTCTTCCATTTAGAACACCCTATTTATAGATATTTGAGTTCTGAATGGCCATTATCCTTCTGCTCTATAACTCTGCCCCTTCCCTCCTTCATCAGACCGGGGCTTACTCACTAAACTGTGGATTGTGTGGAATGGGAGTGAGAAACCTCCTCCCCCCCAATGTAGACTGAGATGGGTTTTTCGTTTGGCTGTTTTGGACTGGCGGTAACAGTGCCCCTGTCTCCACAGTTTTGGAATAAATCCCACTGTTTTAACCATTCAAATGCTGGAATAATCTGCCATTAAAGTCCAGTTATAATAGGTAAGGAAACGTGTGTATGTTCAGGAGTGTGTGTGTGTGTGAATGTGTCACTATTTATGACTGTGTGTGTGTTCAGGAGTGTGTGTGTCTGTCACTAATTATGACCGTGTGTGTGTGTGTGTGTGTGTGAATGTGTCAATATTTAACACAGTGTGTGTGTTCAAGAGTGTGTCACTATTTATGACTCTGTGTGTTTAGGAGTGTGTGTGTGTGTGTGTGTGTGAATGTGTCAATATTTAAGACAGTGTGTGTGTTTAGGAGTGTGTGTGTCACTATTTATGACTGTGTGTGTTCAGGAATCCGTGTGTGAATGTGTTAATATTTATGACTGTGTGTGTTTAGGAGTTTGTGTGTTTAGGAATGCGTGTGTATTTTCTATATTCATTGTCATTGTGTGTGTAAGGTTGATATTATATGTCTTTATGTCTTTATTTTGGATGAACTGTCTGTGTGTGCCATGTGTTTGCACTAGTTTAAATCAGTAGACTTTGTTAGCTCCCCCCCCCCACCCCCCCCAAACCACAAACCCCTTACCTGTGCAGAATTCCCACTTGGGGTTTAAATGGTGTGTACCCCCCTGGGATATAAATCACTGATCACTGCCTGTACAGGGAGATAATCTGCTCCCAAGCTGCCTCTTAATCTGCATCCATCACAGCAGCCGCCATTCATACTAAATTAACAGCACTTCACCGCCTTAATTACTTTGTCAAAGATGAAGAATAGTCATTGATCCTGCCCTCTACACAGATAAGGAGCAGACAGCATTGGGAGGAAGAGGATAGGTGCAGGGTATGACCTCTGTGTAGGATGCAGGATTAATGGGACACCCCTAAAATCCCTGGGATGGGGTAATATTACCCTGGGATTGTGTCTGTGTGTGTGTGTGTGTATATATATTTCTATAAAATTACTGAACCTGGCTCAAAATTCAGATGCCATGGTGAGATTGAACACTGCATGTGTGCTAATCTTGATAAATGATATATAATTTATTGAGCCAACTAAGGGTATGACATGTATTGTTTTCCTATCCAGCATAACTAGGCCTGACCCATTATCTACCTCTAATATTCAACCCTAACTCCCATAACCCCCAGCCTAACCCCTGGATGAATTTAATCCCAATACAGGGTCTAAGTACCACCATACCCTCATGCCACTGAGTGCATAAATGTCATTCAACCACTGGCAGTGCAATGCCATGATTCATCCAAAAGGAAATATCTACAGGGTGATATGATTGAAGTGCTCTGTCCCAAAGAGCGTACAATCTACAGACTTGGGTGGAGTAATGCGACAAATGCACATTAAAGGCAGATAAGATAATTCTCAGTAAAACCATGCTTTTCTCTACCTATTACCCTGATGTCTGTTCTGGTAGAAGTTACACTATTCCTGTATTATAACATAGACAAGCCCCATACTATTCCTGTATTATAACATAGACAAGCTACATACTATTCCTGTATTATAACATAGACAAGCCCCATACTATTCCTGTATTATAACATAGACAAGCCACATACTATTCCTGTATTATAACATAGACAAGCTCCATACTATTCCTGTATTATAACATAGACAAGCCACATTCTATTTACTATTCCTGTATTATAACATAGACAAGCTCCATACTATTCCTGTATTATAACATAGACAAGCCACACACTATTCCTGTATTATAACATAGACAAGCCACATACTATTCCTGTATTATAACATAGACAAGCTCCATACTATTCCTGTATTATAACTTAGACAAGCCACATACTATTCCTGTATTATAACATAGACAAGCCCCATACTATTCCTGTATTATAACATAGACAAGCCACATACTATTCCTGTATTATAACATAGAGAAGCCCCATACTATTCCTGTATTATAACATAGACAAGCCCCATACTATTCCTGTATTATTACATAAACAAGATCCATACTATTGCTGTATTATAACATAGACAAGCCCCATACTATTCCTGTATTATAACATAGACAAGCCACATACTATTCCTGTATTATAACATAGACAAGCCACATACTATTCCTGTATTATAACATAGACAAGCCACATACTATTCCTGTATTATAACATAGACAAGCCCCATACTATTCCTGTATTATAACATAAACAAGCTCCATACTATTCCTGTATTATAACATAGACAAGCCACATACTATTCCTGTATTATAACATAGACAAGCCCCATACTATTCCTGTATTATAACATAGACAAGCCCCATACTATTCCTGTATTATAACATAGACAAGCCCCATACTATTCCTGTATTATAACATAGACAAGCCCCATACGATTCCTGTATTATAACATAGACAAGCCCCATACTATTCCTGTATTATAATATAGACAAGCCACATACTATTCCTGTATTATAACATAGACAAGCCCCATACTATTCCTGTATTATAACATAGACAAGCTCCATACTATTCCTGTATTATAACATATGCAAGCCACATTCTATTTACTATTCCTGTATTATAACATAGACAAGCCCCATACTATTCCTGTATTATAACATAGACAAGCCCCATACTATTCCTGTATTATAACATAGACAAGCCCCATACTATTCCTGTATTATAATATAGACAAGCCACATACTATTCCTGTATTATAACATAGACAAGCCCCATACTATTCCTGTGTTATAACATAGACAAACTCCATACTATTCCTGTGTTATAACATAGACAAGCCACATACTATTCCTGTATTATAACATAGACAAGCCCCATACTATTCCTGTATTATAACATAGACAAGCCCCATACTATTCCTGTA